CAATGGTTTTTTTCTGTAAACTTTTCATATCAGAGACTCATGTTAGTCTAGATGGGCATCATCCATTGCTCTAGTGTTCTATGGTAGAACTGATTTCACTTGGGCTCCATTTGGTACTTCAGTGTTTCTCTTCAACTGTATGTTTATGGCTGATTGTAAATAATGTGCCTAATCACAGGACAGTGAAGAAGGCAAAACAACATGTAGTACATGTCCATATGAGATGATGAGTTTTTGTGTAATACCTGTAAGTAATGTCCTGAGCATCACGACCAGGTAAAATATTATCCTTCATTAGGGTCTATTGTAGGGCTGGGACGGGTAACTCTGGTACTTGGGTACTGAGTAGGACCCACACCCGTGGTTAGTCATGTGATATATTGTTTAATGACAAAAAAATTCTGGAACTCAATGGATACACTATAAGTGACAAACGTTCACATTTCTTTGTGACCATGCACACATTCCTTTTAACTTTATACGTTTGCAGAAAGATAAAACCTAAGTCAACCTCAGTGTATGCATAACCACATCGTTATATACCTGTATCTAAATACATTTTGACGGGAGTACGGTCAAACGTTTCCAATCGACATTTTGTACCTACACCGGGTAGCGTCGGGTAATAGGAGAAAGGGGGGTACCCAGGTAGTAAATTTGGACTCGTCCACAGCCCTCGTCTATTGCATTGAAACAAAATACTCACAGACATTGTAATCTGAGAACTCTACATGAATTGCAAACAATTTATTTCTATGAATACATTTGAATCCATATGAAGCTGATTGTACACTCCTAAATAAACAGTAGCAGTATTCGATGAATTGTTTCCACCATGAGAAGGGTGTGTGTCATGATTGATGAATTAAGTTAAATAAGTTCAGGAGACACAGTTTTTGCTTTGAGAAGAGTTGAAAGTGTGAAGGTGTGATTGTGGAGTTATTTCTGTGGGTATTTGTGTTTTATTGACACAGAACGCCAGGTATACGACAGGTAAGCTGGAGACTAGAAATAAGGTAGGGATTGTCCCAGTGGCAAATACACCACTGCATACTCCACTGTAGACCTGATTATCATGTTCAGCGCATGTGACAGATGAGAGAGCCTCTTGGCTGCTCGTTTGATGTTCCGCACTACACATCCAGTGCATACTTTACCTGAGATTGTGTCGCTGCCAGGTAAATCAAGGTGCAGAATAGCAGTAAGTATATTTGCTTGTGAAAATTTAGTATTCATTAGGTGAATGTTCAGTTCAGCTTCTGTGACCACTTTACAAGATTGCTAAGTGGCCAGAGGGGTTGTGAAAGCTAGCAATGGTGTTGTGTGTTAGACTATACTGTTGTGGAGAGACAGTGGTGTGGACGGGGCAGTCAGGTAGCCTAGTGGTTAAAGTGCTACCTCGTCACGATGAAGACCCGGGTTCGAAATTGATGCAATGTGTGAAGCCCATTCCTGGTGTCTCCCGCCATAATATTGCTGGAATATTGCTAAAGGCGGTGTAAAGCAAAACTCACTGACTGGTGGTGGACAGACAGTGTTGATGGAGTGGATGTGGAAGCTGTGTAGAGACTGTGTGTGTCCATGTGTGGTAGAGCTGGGCAGGAGACCCGATAGGCTGCTAGCAGAGGTGTTGGCCCAGAGGCTGCTACCTGACAGGCCACTTGGACTGGAGTACCCCTACTTACCCACAGGTGGTATGTTCAAGCTGTCCCAGTGCCCTACACAACCACCGTGGTATGAGGGTGGTCATGTGTTTGTGAGAGTTACACACAGCACCGGGCAGGGTAAACATGGAGCAGTACACCTTCATGGTCATCTTCCAGTGTCCCACACTGCTCAACACAACCCCTCATCCTCTGTTACTACTTTGCACCACCACAACTACAACTACCACAACCACTACCACTACCACTACCATCACTTCCACCACCACCACCTAGGCTTAAATACTTCCACACACAGCCACAAATACCGATCCCAGAAATGCACTTTAGCTGATGACACAAATGATGAATTGGTACGTTATGTTTACATAGCAAAATAAACCTAAAATGATTTAATAAGATAATATTTCTTTTTATCAGTTTTCATATTCATCATGCAACCACTTCAACAATCCCCGAAACCTCTCCCCCGCACAAATAGTGGGTGTATTATCTGGCGATCGGCCTTGTGTCACTACCTAAATGGCTCCTCTTAAGAAATCGTAACTCCTACGCATGCATATCAGAGTAGTGTGAAAAGTAGAGTGTGCTGTACCTGCATGATTAATGATGTGAGGTGGGTGTAAGTCCATGTCAACACATGCATTGACGGCCCACTGCTCAATTCTTTCACAGGGGCGGTTGGGTAGCCTAGTGGTTAAAGGCTCGTCACGCCGATGACCCGGGTTCGATTCCCGACATGGGTACAATGTGTGAAGCCCATTTCTGGTGTCCCCTGCCGTAGTATTGCTGGAATATTGCTAAAAGCGGCGTATAACCATACTCTCTCACTCAATTCTTTCATAGGGATTCCTCCTTCAAAAGGGGACCAGAATTAGTCACATTGGTTTCAGTGTGTTGATAGTTCTTGTGCCGAGTCAGCAGGCTTCATCAGCTGATTCCCGCAAGCACCATTAGGTGAGATCAGTCTTGGGCTGTGAGCTGGCTGTGTTAGTGTCTCATCATACCCGTAACATCATTGCTCACAGGTTGTTATTGTCATTAGCAGTGTGCATGTTACTGGGATGCTCGGAGACTATACTCACTAACTTGTTAGCCCCAAGTTTTTATCCCAAGGATTAGGGTGATAAATATCATAAAAACCCAAGGGGAAGTGTTTTATCTAACTTATGAACCGAAAAAAACAACTTAACATTGATCAACATTATCAACATCAGCATTGTGATTTATCAGCGCTTCTGTTGCCTAGTAGTACACTCACGGGGCTACAGATACAAAGGTTGCGAGTTCAGTCATCAGGAACATAATAAAGAACATTTGTCATTTGATTTAACATCTCATTACATTGTGTTAAAGACTCATGAAAATCCGGGTTAGAATAGGTCTTCAGCAACCTATGTTTGCACTAAAAGGCGACTATGCTTGTTGTAAGAGCAACTAATGGGATCGGGTGGTCAGGCTCCATGACTTGGTTAATGCATGTCATCGTATCCCAATCAATCACTGGATTGCCTGGTCCAGACTTGATTATTTACAGACCGTCGTCATATAGCTGGAATACTGCTCAATGTGGCGTTAAACAACAAACAAACATTGTGTTAAAATGGAAAATATATTTCTCACAAGAAACATGCATATGTTACAATCTAAACAGAAGTTGTAACATCCCTGTTTTTGAGATTTAACCTGACTGGAGAACAATAGGATGACATCACTGGAGGTTTATAAATCTACATTTTACCCCACATGCCTACGAAGCAGCTGGTGTGACACCCACATTACAGAGAATTCTAGATGGTATAGGAGGCTTATGCTACTCCTCCTATGTCCATCTCTACTGTGTGGGAGTCTATGGGAAGGTATTATCCTGCCTATGTGAACAGAATGTTGTATTCCATATTGATTAAAGGTATGTGTTATGGAGTTAAGCCTTCACTGAGTGTGTAATATTCCATATCAACCAGGAGGTATGTATTGTGTGTGGAACTATGTTGCTGCCAGATAGTTACCAAGGGTGATGATGGCCAGGGAGAGACTGGGCTGAGATGAACCAGCCTGCACAAGCACAGTCTCTGATTACAGACCATGACATGATATGACGAGCAAGAAAGTGAAAACATTGCCCCATAGGCTGGCCAAGGGAGTGAAAATATTGCCACGGTCCCTCTGGATGTGGGATGTGTTGAGCTCAAGAGAGAGTGTGGTGTGATAATCTGATGATAGATGTGATTACCAGAGGTGTTACGAAACATGGGCTGGCTGCAGTTCCTGGTCTATACTAAGGTGGGTGATATGGTGTATATGCACACATGGTTACGACATATTTAACACATATCTAGCTGACCATGCATCCAGTCTGCCTTTAGCGCTAAGTTTGATGTATTAGAATCTGATTCTGGCATTACAGCTTTAGAAGTACAGATCTTCATTTGTGGATTGTGCAATTTGTATTTGGAGAAGAAGTTTCTATTGTTTATCTGTTATTGGATTGTGCATTGTGTAATTGTTGAAGAGGGGTTTGAAAGTGATGTGAGCTAGGATTTTGAAATACATGGCTGCTGTTTTGCTGGTTTTGTCACAGATAATTTCCATGAAAGTATTGCACAATCCAAGGCACTGCATATTGGCAAAAGTGTTTGTTCGATAACTGAAATGGACTAAATCGATGGTGGATCCTGTTTTCATGTGAAGCCTTCTTCAGAGATTCCAACTCTCCAATCCATCAAATTGATGTAATACTGCAGTGATATAACTAACCGTAATGGCGTGAAGAAAATTGTGAATTCATTGATGCCATAATACTGATTTGTGAATATTTTTTTAAATTGATGATTGATGTCATCAGTACAAAAGTGGAGAGTTTTTACAAATTTATGCGTGCCTACATGTTTCCTGTGTCGTTGACGTGACCAGTCTGCAGTCTGTGCGAGGAGCAACACGTTCCAGGATCAGTTTGTATGTTAAAGATCCATAGACACATTCCTTCAGTCCTGCACACTTCTGCATACGCCTTGACCTTGACATTGTCATGAATCAGTGCAACATATAGACGTCTGCTACTGTTATGCAGTTTGCAAGTCTGTGTTGGGAGATTATTTGGAACAATTGTCCGTCCGGATCACATGTTTAAGCAGCTTCGACTGGAAGTTCCTCCAAGACCAGCTCTGCAGCGTGTCCACATAGTTGCTCGTAAAAGGTAGACATTAACTTAATATACTTCTGCGGATGTTTGTGTTTTTGGAAGCACATTTAAGGAGTCTTGTTGTGTTTGGAACACATGTACTAAAAATTTCAGTTGTTATTGTCTGATTTATGGGTGAAACAGAAACATTTGCATTGATGAGGATATTGTTCATGATGTTTTGTCATTGAATATTTCACCAATGTGAAGCAGGTTTATTACTTTTGACCATTGAATTCAAAATGACAGGGCAGCTCAGTGGGTAGTGTGTTTGCTTTCAATGCCTGCAGGAGTTTGAAGCTCAACCTTGGTGTTCCCTGCTTGCTTAAAAGTTATACAGTGTTCTTAAATGCAAGGTTATAGTTTATCCCCGTTCACACACTTGTACATAAAACCATATTTTCGACCAAGAAATATTTCATATCTGTCTTTGCCATTATCTTGTTCAAATTCCATTAAAGTTCAACTTGCTGTCCACAGTATATTTTTCCTGAACTTTGTGTGGGGTGTTGAGGAGTTGATTTTGTGAGCTGTGCACCAGCCATTACCCAATGTCTGGGCTAAGACAAAGCAAAGGTGGTCACACCTGTTTCAACTTCGTGATTGAAGCAGCTTTCACCTGTAGAACAAACCAGTGAGATGTGTTGGTCTACCTGTGTTCACCTGTACACCAATATTTACCTGCTGTCCTCACACCTGACATCCTCGTTAACAGTTTTGGCAAATACACTTGGTCACATTGAGGTGCAAGAAAGGGAGAAAGATGTTTTCTAGCCTACGCCAGGAGTGATGTGAGGATTCAGTTTACAGCTGAGGTGAAAGATATTTGTCTGCTTCTCTCATCAGCTCATCAGAGGAATCACCTTGGTTTGGTTGCCCATGTTGTAAGAAGGCCACTTTCACGCTCCCTCACCTGAAAAATACAACACAGGTTGGTCAGGTGTTAGTATATTCCGTCACGCAAAGACTGAAGAGTGGTACATTGAACCGGCTCTGTTTTCCATATGTCCGAGGGCCATTTGTCAGAATGTGACACCCATTGTTCCAAGGTTAAACAGAATACATTAACCACTGTTCCATGCATGGCTTGCCAGCTGCCCTTCTTTCACAGGTATTTCTACCTGACAACTGTAAGATACCTGGGACGACTGTACAGGTGAGAGTACAAGCTATATTAACAGGAGGCTTCATGTTGGACGTGTTTAGCATTGAGTGTTTTGTCAAGGTGGAAGTAATTCCACTTAATGGATAGGATGTACTTGAGTCAGGTTGCTTGACATAGCTGACCCTCCTGAGTGAATGATTTAGCCAGCATCTTGTGTGTTATGATGAGCCAGACTGGAGTAGGTTTAATGATTTCATCTTGTCATTGTCATCCCAATATCCAGTAAGACCTATTCATGTCAGTTGGTTTATATGATGAAATGTCAAGGTTGAAAGAAACGTCTAGCCAGTTGGTGTGATGAATGAAACAGAGGCAAATCTTGCATCTCTCCTTATTTTGTGAACTCGTAAAACATTTGCAGGTTTGAAAGTAAGGTTGATCTCAGTATGAACAGATGATATGGAAACTTGCAAGAAAGAACGTTTTCTTTGGCCAAATAAACAAGTTTCTTTCTTTTGCATTGAGAGAAATTATTAGTAGCATATTGATTGTTCAGACTGTGACATATTGATTTGAATAATTCTGTTATTGCCTTACTGGACATATATTTGTTTGATGTTGGCACTCATACCAGCAAGTCTACTTACTTTCTATGTGTCATGTGATTTTGACGAAGGTTTTGATGAGGATGTTGGCTCAAATATGTTCTGTCAACCTTGATAGGGATACTGCATAGAGGTAGGATCAGGCATCATCAGGAATGTCCTCAAAACTATTGTGTTATATAATACAAATGAACATAAATTAGCACGTCAGTCAGACAGGAATATTTTAGATACTTATCCTGAAGATGTTTGGCGCAGTATGTTATGATCTCACTTGAAGAAGCTTGTGGTTCCTTCATCCAGTGTGTGTCGTCGTGTCAGGTGTGTCACCAATGACGACAGTGACGGCTGAGGAGGACACTACAGTGTTTACCTGTCATTGCAGAACATGTTTAAGTATCGGGATGGACAGGGATCTCTTGAATCATGAATGTGTCTTGTGACCTTGAAGATCGACTGAAATGGTTTGGCAGAGGAGATGGTTGACTCGGTGACTTGGTACAAGGTCTCTTAGAATGCCTACCTCACTACGCTGACGTGTACACAGGGGCATAGCCTTGCTCCAAGGCTGTACTGAAAGAAAAGTCCTTGAATGTGTAGTAATTCTATCTTCCTAATAGGCAAGTCTAGATATGTGGAGAGGACTCCCGTCTCTTATAGGGACAACTTGTTTTTATTATTTACATAATCTAGAACTTGTGATTTTGACTAATAATTATTGCCTTAGAGACTTGTGCAAGTCTAGTTGTGGCTGTTTGTCTGTGGTATGACTGAAAGTAAACAGTGAGCCCATTCAATAATGGTCAGTCAAGCATGACTCAAAGTCACCAGTTTCGAGTTTCTCACGACCCAATGTCACCAACAGGCTTTCTTAGCCAATCAGATCTGCTGTAAGATTCTATAAGCTGATGAAAGCGTACTCTAAAATAGCAACCCAGTACAGTACGCTGAATGTCAAGTTCCCTGTTGCTGAATGAAGTGCTTTAATAACTATTCCAATGCGATCGATATCCAAACATCAAAGGAAGTGTCAGTTGTAAGAAATATACAGGCTCCGTGTACATGGTAAACAATTGTATGATTGATAGTCATTGTCTTGAGGGTGTATTGTGATTAGCTCCCCTGATGAAATATTGATGTCTGTTGTTCCTGGGGCGTGTGTTCCTCAGGTGTTGGTTGCCAGCGTCTGGGCTGACTTGCAGCCATGTTCCCACATGTATTTGTTTATCCCTAGGATAATGTCTCGTATGATAATACGTATTAATCAGTCCACCTTGTACTTCAATTTAGTTTTGCATGGTAATAGGGGGAAACTGGGTGAGGGATGGCAACGTTGTCAGTTATGGGAACTACACGTCCATGTTGGTAAAATTCCATCTTCCCAAGGTAATTGAGTTTATTAACTCATAAGGTCCAGTTTCCACCTTGCCGAACTAGGCCGAAATTTCTGGGTACGATCGTAGCGCCACCAGTGGCTATAACAAGCTATACCCCTTTCTATGTCCTTCCTATTGACCAGTCAGATTCCACCTCTCATATCACTTGTATTTGCTTCATACAAAATGGCAGTGCCCAGTCAAGACAATCTGATCGATAAGCAAGATGATGATGATGTTTGTTATTATTATTATTGTAATAAAACGGGATCTTACTTGGCAAAGTGCATCAAATCACGTGAGCACCTTGATTAAAAACAAGAAAAGATTTGGAAAATATCTGTTGACGGTACACATGCTTTGCAATTCCTGCAATCGACCGAAATTTGCATGGCAGCTTACGAACTGGATGTTGATTTCGTTACATGATTTTGATTGGACTATGCATATACTCATTAGTCCAGCCAAAATACGACTCCATAATTGCAGCCTAGTTCGGCAAGGGTGGAAACTGGACTTTTATAGTCAGTTAACACCCTTGCCTTGGGAAGATGGTAAAATTCATGCCTGCTCATGTTCAATTATTTATCCCATCATAAACAAACAGACAGCTAAGTAACTCCAGTCCGCCCGTCACAGACAAGTGGATTAGTCTGGGGATATTCTCCATGGAAGAGGTCGTGTGTGTAATATTAGCTGCTTGAGTGGGTTACATAATGCAGTCTGTCTACCTGAAGTACCGAGGCACTTGACCCCTTCACTGCTCCAGTGCACCACTGTGATGCCTCCATGTGGCTTATGCCGTGGGAAGGGTTAAGTTCAGTGTGACACACACCCACTCAACATGTGTGCTGCATTCAACAATTGGCTGCTTATTGTGCATCCTGTGACAGGAACTGGTGCCTTGTATATTGTGAACTGATGTTGTGTTTTGGATACCATTATTGTCGGAATTTCTTTTTCGGCGGATAATCAAGACTGCTTATTCTCTTGCATTTTGTTGGATTTCATTGTCAACGGTAAGTCTGAGATATGTTCAGGGTGCATCTGAAGATGGCTGATGGGTTACCTACAGCGTGTTTATTCCCAATCTGACCATCTCTCTGGTCTTACTAAGTGGATAGTGTGTCTACCAGAGAGAGGTCAGTGGTTCAATCCCCTGGCCGCCTCAGTGGTCTAGTGGATAGAGTGTCAGCCTGAGAGTGGGACTTTGGTGACCCGAAACCCAGCCATGTCATATTTAGAGATGTTACAAGATGGCACTTGTTGTTACCCTGCCTGGCACTTGGCATTCAGAGGGGAAGAAAAGACTGGTTAGCTTGGAGTCAGTATACTGCGTCTGAGTGGGGTTTCCATGTTGCACTGTGGCATGTTATTTCGGTCCAGAATTAGTCCGGACTAGAACAAGCTGGCATGCGTGCACGTACACGGACGTACATGTGCATGTACATCGCTGTGTAAGTACAATAACCTTGAATGCCATTTCACCTCATTGCATTCCTGCAATAATTATAACTGCTTTGATGTGTCCCCCAGCAGTGATGTGGCTGGAATATTGGTAAAAGCACCATCTAAAACTCAACTCACCCCTTCCCTCATTCTAGCTGCTTTGAAGCACTGACTGATCTTATCAGTGTCAGAGGCTATTGTATAGGCTGTGTAGACAGTAATCTGTGTGACTCCGGACAGGGTTAGCCTAGCAAAACATTGGACAAGAAATGGTTTATATGTGTATATCTCTGTGACAATATTGACCAAGAGTGTGTTAAACATGACTATACACACCCAGTCATGTGGTACGGAGAGACACAAGCTTGTCCACCAGCTGGCTGCACCCCAAGACCACGCCCCTCTTTCAGCACTTTGCTTACAGTTAATTCGGGTAGTCAATAATGTATTTACCTGTAATTACTAATACAAACTTGATCAAAGTTAAGGCAAAGAGATTTATGTCTTTGTTCACAATAAGACAACTTAGGGGTGTTTGGTCAAGTTTGCTTTGACTAAATTTAGACGTGATAAGTTGACAATAATGTACAGTCATTGTCCCTTGTCCCATAAATTCAGTTGGAATCCAGCACTGAGGAAGACAGCTAGTCAGGCCCTGAAACAAATATATCCAGAACAGCTCGTGCAAGTCTATGATAGTGGTCAGGTCTAGATTACTGCAGTTTCAAGAAAATGAAGAGAGTCTCCAGGCTCTTTTTTATTTTCAGGAACTCAGTGTTAATTCTAGGAGTCTGAGTCAGTTAGATTTTACTCAATAAGGAATTAATGCTGTAGATTTGGGATCAGAATTGTGGGTATTGACCAAGATTCTAGTGGTCCAGTTCAGTTCTTACAGCTTGCACCGTACGTGTGCATCATCATCACGGAGCATTACTCATTATCATGGTGAAATTTGATGTGAAATTTACGTACTTCGCTTTAACTAGCCCGGAAACATAACCCTCCCCGGTAATAGAAGACTGGTGTTTTCTGATCTACTTTACTGTTGTCGGAGACATGTTTATTTCCGTTGTGGAATTTGACAAACCTGGACAAACAACAGAGACTCCTTGTGGAGCAAATGGGGATTAAGTGTCCATTAAATGTGAAGAGAATAAAACACAAGTCCTGATCCGAGGTGTTTCCTCTTTACGTCCGACCTGTCCTGACAACGCCAGTCAACATTACAGGTATGAGGTGCTTTTCTTTTCATGCCATGTTGACCTAACAGTGGCTGTTGTTGCCGAGCAACAGTGTGGCAGGTGAATGTATGGTGATGCTCTCTGGTCCTGCAGGTGTTATGCAGGGAGGTTGCATTCCTCCTTGCATCTTCATGCAATTGGCATATAATCATATGGAACTGTCTGGGTCGCATGCGATAGTCTTCTTGTTGGGAAGGAATTGATTCTGAATTAGATGCAGTTGTGTTATGTATTGTCACATGACCGTTACATTACGCTGGGACCCGTGAAGATCCAGGGTAGAATGCGTCTTCAGCAACCCATGCTTGCCAAAAAGGCGACTATGCTTGTCATGAGAGGCGACTATCGGGTTCGATATCTTGGTTTATGCATGTCATCGTATTCCAGTTGCGTGGATCGATGCTCATGGTGTCAATCACTGGATTGTCTGGTCCAGACTCAATTATTTACAGACCACCGTCATATAGCTGGAATATTGCTGAGTGCGGCGTTAAACAACAAACAGACAGACAGAATACATTATGCTGCGAGTTACAGTCTTGCCCCTGATGAAATGGATCGGAAGAAGTTGTCCATATGTTTTGGAATAGTGTGGCATATCCTGTGTGCCCAGACATGTTGTCTTTCTGGGAATCTATATTCACAACCAAAATATGACCAAACATGATTGGTCCAGATATTTGATGTTCTGCTGTGTTAGGAACAGATTTCAGATCATTAGAAGGCATGTGGACTCACTGCAACTAGCAGGCTCTATAGACCTCAATATTAACACTGTGTGATAAAGAAAGTTATGATTTTGTTAGTCTTTTTTCGCCTAACCTCCAGAACACAAAAACAAATTAAGGATTTGCAAGAATATGGGTTTATTTTGATGATTTCTTTTCTCTCTAAATTTGAGCAAGTGACGCTGTTCCAATCAGAATAACCTTTGTCTGTATCATGGATCCTTACAGTAAACAACCACTTTCAGTGAACATTTAAACCAGGTTCAAGTCACTGCAAGCTGAAAATTCCCAATGTAGGATTGATAAAACACTGCTTGATTTTAGAGACAGGGCAACTAGTTGGACAAAGTATGTCTTTTCTTATGTCCACATATGAAAACTGCCAGAAACCTGCAGTCCCCAGCCCCAGGGCTGGATTGGAATACATCTGCGGCAACTATCATGTGAATGCTAATTAAGCTTACAGTTTTGCAGGAAGACATTGTATTCATCCTGTAAACACATGACATCTCCCTCAGAGCCCTCACACATAGGTTATAAGGTCAGAGCAGCCGATGGGGGACACCAAAGAATTTCATAAATATGTGTAAATCAGGGAAAGAATGCCATTAGCTGTTTTCAATGTGATAACATCTCCCACACAACTAGTTACTGTCAACTGTATGGAGTGGAAATTATAGCTTGTTAGTTACAAATTAGTTTGAAAGAAAACGCCATGTACACTGCCTCTAGTGAGTGACCCGTGGGTAGATCTCCTTATCTAATTAGGTTGACCTCCCCCACAGCTTGAGGGTGATCGCCATAATGGTGGACCTGTGGGTGTCACCTATGTAACCTTCTCCGCTGACCCATCCGGCTGGAACTGGGTCTTATTGAATATCCTACCGAAGTCACATCCGAGGGTCACTCGCCTCCACTTCCTTTTTTGATTGTCTTTGATGAGTTGTTGATGTCTGAGTGTCGGGATCGATGGAGTCAGACGAGTCTGTGTGCTGTAATTGCAGTATACCAATATACTGAGACATCCGGAGGACACATCACCCTGGGGTCTGAGAGGTTTTTACAAGGCACTGAAAGGGAGCTGTAGCATATATGTACTTTGGCCGCAGATAGATGTTATACAAATAGAATTTCCAAATTGGTTTGTTTGGATTCTTCTCAGTAAAGAAAGTCTATGCCGGAACTCAAGAATGAATATTGATCTCAATTTTTTATCCCTCTGGCAATGTGGGAGGGTATTGTCATCATCTGTCTGTTTGTCTGTTTGTCTGTTCATCCATATTTCGTTTCCGGAGCATCGCTGGAAAGCCATGAAAGATTTTCATCCAAACTTGGTACATGTTATAATCGGGCTAAAGTGATGACTTTTGCTACTGTTGGGGCCGGGGGCTTTGTCATTTTTGTGTTTCCAGCTCGGCTAGGCATTGCAGAAACTGGATTGCTGGATAAATTACGCATTTTATATAGTATATGCGGTTTTTTTTCACATAAATATTGTCCGGATATCTGGGGTCAAGATAAGCAGGGTTCCACTGTGCCGTTGTCATCACGCTATTTTCTTTTGAGAGTCTGAAATGGATTTATTTAATCAACATTTGAATGCCCCCATTATCAAACTATACTTGAGCCAGTTCATATCATCATTATAAGGCAGTAAGTTATTCATGGCACCACATGGAGCATTGTCCTGGCAGGGTATTCATTCCCCATCATGGGAAAGTGAATTCACCCCTACAATCACAGTGCAAGTTTCTGTCAACCCACTGACGCATATTGGTAATTTTCGTTTTAACTTCAGTATTGGGTACAGATGGCAGGATGGGGAGTTATTACTGTCTCAATCAATCAGTAGAGTGCAGTTCACCAGGGCATACGTCAGAGAAGTGTTCCTGAATGAAAGGCTGTCTCCCTGGATTTCATCTGCAAGAGTTCATGAAGTTGGGAACTTGATTTACAAGACTTGGAGAGTGAGTGAGTGAGTGAGTGGGTGGGAGAGTGGGATTTTAGCCATATTGCAGCAATATCCCATTGGGGGACACCAGAAATGGCCTTCACACATTGCATCCATGTGGGGAATCTAACCCGGGCCTTTGGCTGATGTGTAAACCACTAGCTGACCCCTTTGGCGCTTGGAGGTCGTTATCAGTTGTGATGTGTTGTTGGTTGGATACATGGCGTCACCTCCAGAGGAAATGGTCTTGGACCAAACAGACTGATGTAGATCTGTTCAATCATGTTATTTAGATTTATCTGAAAACGATGTCGAAATGGTTAGATGAAGGTAACAGGCAGTACACAGTGAAGTGCAGGCAATTTTATAGACTACCGCTTAGTCAATGAAAACATGTTTGTAATTTTTTTATTTTTTTCTCTTCGAAAGAACCTTTCCGTTGTCTTCTGCTGTTTTCATTTATTGTGGAGCCAACCAGACTTGGTTAGTTTGATCTAGACTTGCCTAGGCTTTTAGTAAAAAAAATACCCGAAAAATATAAATTCCACAGTCATGGTACAGGACTAAAACATTTACAACCAGCAAATAACGTTTTAATAACAAAAGTTTGTTATTGCTTCGAAAACAGCGACTTTCATGTGTGTAAAGGAAACAGAACAATTATGAACACATGATATATAACTGTCTAAAAAGTCAGAACCTACCATGGAAATATTGGATCTATAGCTCCTAAGGTTAAAGTTGAAATATTACAATGGCAGATCATTTTTGTTGTGACATGAATCTTGTTTTGGGCCAATCTTCTATTGATGGCATCATATTCTTAAGCATGATATTGCTGGCTTTGCCCCCCTCCCCCCCTAAGTTGCCGGACATTATCGGTTTAAGTGAAGGTGTGTGCTGGAATAGTTTGATCCATCAAGCTTGACAGGCATCCAGCAGTCACAACAAACAGAGTGAAGGACCGAGTGTTTGTTGTTGCATGTGAGTGACAGCTAGTTTGATAACTCCACGGCGTATGACGTCATACCTGATTACTGCAGTTATCAAAATAAACCCCAAGGGTGTCTGATGCCCCTCCGCAGATGTCACAGGTTTCAATATCACTAATGGATGGAATATAGGAGTTAGTTTTGGATTTTCTTTCATGATACAATAAACAAGTTTATTTTTTTAGTGCAGTGTAAATACTTACTGTCTTGGGATTGCAGATGTTTGAGGCCTTTTTGCTGTGTGCTGTGTACTTTGCACATTATCTGTTTTGATCTTTGCAAACATGACTGAATGTAATCTTGTAAGTGGATATCCTCAGTTGGGTGGAATTATGGATTTCGGCTTCTTGTACTCTTTCACTGTACCGTTCGGTTGCTGGTACCTTTATCAAGCACACAAATCTACAGCTTAGCAGAAAATGGTTAAATAGAGGATATAAACACAGAGATTAATAAAAAACAATGAATATAATTTACAATAACAAAGGACGAACCCTGTGACAGTGGTATGAAAGTAGTATGATAAGAGTGGAGATGACAGTGTTATTAGAATGATGACAGTATGCATGAGGAGATAGGGGATAACAGTGTTATGATTAGAATGATGACAGTATGCATGAGGAGGTAGGGGATAACAGTGTTATGATTAGAATGATGACAGTATGCATGAGGAGGTAGGGGATAACAGTGTTATGATTAGAATGATGACAGTATGCATGAGGAGATAGGGGATAACAGTGTTATGATTAGAATGATGACAGTATGCATGAGGAGGTAGGGGATAACAGTGTTATGATTAGAATGTTGAATGCGTGAGGAAGGTAGGGGATAACAGTATTATGATTAGAATGATGACTGCGTGAAGAAGGTAGGGGATAACAGTTTTATGATTAGAATGATGACTGCGTGAATAAGGTAGGGAATAACAGTATTATGATTAGAATGATGCCTGCGTGAGGAAGGGAGGTGATAACAGTGTTATAACTGTGTTTGTGTGAGGAAGGTTGGTGATGATTTGTGTGAAGACAGTGTGTCTTCCACTTTGTTGTTTAACACTGCACTTGGCAATATTCAAGCTATTTAATGGCTATCTGTAAATAATCTAGTCTGAAGCAGTCCAGTGATTGACATCATGAGCATCGATCCACACAATTAGGATACGGTGACATGAGCGAACCTGACCACCCAGTCCCGTAAGTTGCCCCTGTCAACAAGAATGGCTTGCTGAAGAATCGAACCCGGAATCTAACGGGACTGGTCTGTCTTCAGACATTAAGCTGACATGAGCCAACTGAAATATTGATCAAGGTGGCATTAAACTCAGTTCGCTCACTCACTCTGTAGAACTGTACAATCACAGAAAGACCATTGCCCTGAACTGTAAGTGGACCAAGCGCCATGGTGTGGAAGGGAGATATGGAAATGGGTGCTGTCTGTCTGTCCGTCCGTCACGTTTCATTCCCAGAGCAGAACTCAAAAAGCTTGAGAGATATCTTAACCAAACTTGGCACATAGAGAGGTCTAGTGGTGAACTGGTGCCTTTTAATAGTTTTGGATTTTTTAAGAATTTATTTTTCGAGTTTCCATGGCAACGACTTTGACTTAGACTGAAAATGGTCGTAGTGCTCTTTGCCGGAGGGCTAATGCCTTGCACATTGGACATATAGGCGGGGATATGAGTATTTCATGTTTGATAAAGTAACTGACCCCTCACCATGTAGCCATTTACAGAAATCCTCTACAGTATTGTGTGTACATCCTCTACAGTATTGTGTGTACATCCTCTTCACTGTTGTTTACATGTGTCTAAATTTTGCTGCTTTTTCGTTCCCGAGATTGTACATGCAAAGCCTGGGAGCCAGCTTCTGATGATCCTCCGATACGAGGTCGGCTGCTTCCTACAGGCCATCGTCCCTCTTGACTCTTGTTCCTTGACAGCATGTTAAGTGGTGGCTTGTGGTCTAACGGATTACCATTTTGTTTTGCAGGTGTGCACACTGATGGTCTAGAGCCTCCAGAGCTTGAGGCAGAGGAGGAGGAACACCAGGTTATCTCAAGATGGCTTCGCGGGTAACTTTCGTTACTGGCACGGCCGAGGTCAAGAGAAGAGGTCAGTTGTAACATGTGTTGATATTTCGTTATCTATATATTTAGGGATTATTCTGACATAGCTTTGTGATAACTAATGACGGTTGTACAAATGTGATTGCGTTTATGTAAACCCAGGTTCGTGATGGGCCCTGTATTTTACCCACTGGGTATAGGTTTCTGTTGATAATCTTTCACAAGTAAAAGTTTAATGTAACAGTAAAGTTTAGTTTATTTCCTATATGTGAGCACTAAACAAGGAGAATTTAAGCATCTAAATATCGCTAATGGTTTGAAAAAAGATTAGAACAGGATGTGATAAATATTTCATAAAATCAAATTTAAGTGTTAAGAATAATGTTTAACTTGATTCAAAATTATTTATTTTTGTCATTTGCATACTCCACAAAATTTTCAATTTCTTCTGATACTAATCTATATATGACACCCTGAAAAAAATGCAATAATAATTCTGTTCTGAATGGCTCATACTGTTATTCAGTATGTCTTTCTTTACAACCTTGCTACCTGTATTCACTACCTGTAATCAGGAGTAACCAGCTGTCACCAGGGCTGGTAGAGTCAGGCACACAAAGGATGAGGGTGCGAGAATTGGCTCTGCATTGTCGGCTGATTTCAATCAAAATGTACGAATAATCTAGATTCAAAAGAAAATCCCATTGTAGGATGGTTGATTACCAGCCCAACGAATAGCCAGAACATGGCTTTTCGTAACATTTTCAGTAGATTTCCGTGTCATTATATGGACTGTTATTTGCTGAGTTTACAAGACCGAACAGAATTTTACTAGACACAGGCTTTGGACTCTTGGTTAAAGTCGCGGACTGAATCATTGCTATCATTGTCCTGTTTACTCTTTTAAGGCGTAAAATGGCAATTAAAGTGTGATCATTTTAACACACGATTTCTAACAATAATATGTGTTGCCTTCTATCTATATTTACTGCTTACTTAAAAGTTTAATTCCAATTAAGAAGCTCACATTCAATTAAATTTATTCATAAATCTGATTATGTTTTCTGCAGAACATTTTGTTAAGATTGCTTTGCAAACAACAATGAGATTCTGGGTTAGAACAGGTCTCCAGCAACCAATACTGGTCACACCGTGGGGATTCTGGGTTAGAACAGGTCCCAAGCAACCTATACTGGTCATACCGTAGGGATTCTGAGTTAGAACAGATCCCCAGCAACCTATGCTGGTCAGACCGTAGGGATTCTGTGTTAGAACAGGTACCCAGCAACCAATACTGGTCATACCGTAGGGATTCTGCGTTAGAACAGGTCTCCAACAACCAATACTGGTCATACCGTAGGGATTCTGGGTTAGAACAGGTCCCAAGCAACCAATACTGGTCGTACCGTAGGGATTCTGGGTTAGAACAGGTCTCCAGCAACCTATGCTGGTCAGACCGTAGGGATTCTGGGTTAGAACAGGTACCCAGCAACCAATACTGGTCATACCGTAGGGATTCTGCGTTAGAACAGGTCTCCAGCAACCTATACTGGTCGTACTGTAGGGATTCTGGGTTAGAACAGGTCCCAAGCAACCAATACTGGTCGTACCGTAGGGATTCTGCGTTAGAACAGGTCTCCAGCAACCAATACTGGTCATACCATAGGGATTCTGGGTTAGAACAGGTCCCAAGCAACCAATACTGGTCGTACCGTAGGGATTCTGCGTTAGAACAGGTCTCCAGCAACCAATACTGGTCATACCGTAGGGATTCTGGGTTAGAACAGGTCCCAAGCAACCAATACTGGTCGTACCGTAGGGATTCTGCATTAGAACAGGTCTCCAGCAACCAATACTGGTCATACCATAGGGATTCTGGGTTAGAACAGGTCCCCAGCAACCTATACTGGTCACACCGTAGGGATTCTGGGTTAGAACAGGTCCCCAGCAACCAATACTAGTCGCACCGTAGGGATTCTGTGTTAGAACATGTCCCCAGCAACCAATACTGGTCACACCGTAGGGATTCTGCGTTAGAACAGGTCTCCAGCAACCAATACTGGTCACACCGTAGGGATTCTGTGTTAGAACAGGTCTCCAGCAACCAATACTAGTCGCACCGTAGGGATTCTGCGTTAGAACAGGTCTCCAGCAACCAATACTGGTCACACCATAGGGATTCTGGGTTAGAACAGGTCCCCAGCAACCAATACTAGTCGCACCGTAGGGATTCTGTGTTAGAACAGGTCTCCAGCAACCAATACTGGTCGTACCGTGGGGATTCTGGGTTAGAACAGGTCTCCAGCAACCAATACTGGTCATACCGTAGGGATTCTGCGTTAGAACAGGTCTCCAGCAACCAATACTGGTCACACCAGGGGGATTCTGGGTTAGAACAGGTCTCCAGCAACCAATACTGGTCGTACCGTGGGGATTCTGGGTTAGAACAGGTCTCCAGCAACCAATACTGGTCATACCGTAGGGATTCTGCGTTAGAACAGGTCTCCAGCAACCAATACTGGTCACACCAGGGGGATTCTGGGTTAGAACAGGTCCCCAGCAACCAATACTAGTCGCACCGTAGGGATTCTGTGTTAGAACAGGTCTCCAGCAACCAATACTGGTCGTACCGTGGGGATTCTGGGTTAGAACAGGTCTCCAGCAACCAATACTGGTCATACCGTAGGGATTCTGCGTTAGAACAGGTCTCCAGCAACCAATACTGGTCACACCAGGGGGATTCTGGGTTAGAACATGTCCCCAGCAACCAATGCTGGTTGTAAGAGTCACCCAAATAGATTGGGTGGTCAGGCTCGGTGGCTTGGTTGATTGTGTGTCATCAAACCCCAGCGGCATTGATCATTCATGTGATATTGATCACTGGAATATTGCTGAGTGCAGCGTTAAACAACAAATAAACACACACACAGTGAACTAGACTGAGGTGGGACACATGCCATGGTTCTACAGCCACTGTAAACAGACTATCTCTGTTTCTGTCTGCCTGTGTGTGTGAACCACTCACACAAAGCATACTACTATCATCAGCCTGATTCTCATTTCTTAATGGGGCAGTGGGGTAGCCTTGTGGTTAAAGTATTAAGTGTTTAAAGTGTTTAACTCGGGTTCGATTCCCCACACGGGTACAATGCGTGAAGCTCATTATTAGTATCCACCGCTGTGATATTGCTGAAATATTGCTAAAAGCGTCGTAAAACCATACTCACTCACTCACTCAACTACATCTTGCAACAGCTTACTGTGACTTAGCTCGTTTCCTGTTTGATCTGTGTAGAGTTGGGTATATCCTGCAAGGCTGAGTGATGGGTGATACCTATTTGTCCTCAAGGCAGTTTTATGACATCTTTCTCATCAACTTCAGTTTCACTTCCTCATAAGTAACTTACAGGTTTTAACATTCACCTCACGTCGTCCTGGTTTCCTCAATCCATGTCAGTCATCACTTTTGATGCTATCCGTGTTGGAGCTTTGAATATGTGATTATGTCATCGTTCATATTATGTGGGTGGCGGAAACAAACGGAATGTGAGTTCTTACAGATAAAACTTGACATTTGTATTCAGGACTCAGAATAAATAAGGAAATAAATGTTTCAATTTGTTTAACAAATCAATAAAGATCCTTTCACATCACCAAATGTAATTTTCATTACATTGCTCTACATGTATTTTTGGAATGACGCATCTGATGTTATTAAAAATGTGAAACTGCATCCTATACAGGAATAGGTGGTCTTGATTAGTCACGAGTGTCTGCATACTAATGCTGCGGTTTGCCATGCATGCAGGCGTGTTGTTTAATCTAACCATGGATTGTGTTGCCAACTTAAGCACAGAACAGAACAGAACATCAGACAAAGGGAATAGTTCATGCAACGAACCCAATTCATTCCCCATGGGTAGCAATTAATGTATTTTTCATGTGTACAAAGAAATTGAGACTAAACCAACTAATGTTCAAGTAGACTTAACAGACTAATCCCCAAGGCCTCTTGGAGTTCGTTATGGTGGTCTGTGCACAGTAATCATCACAGCTGATAATCCTGTTCGTTTGTTTCAGATCACAATGGTTTTGATGTTATGGAGAAGCCTAAGGTTGCTTTGATGGACGGCAAGTGTGACTGCTGTCCCTACGGATACCACATCGACCTGGACTTCGTGAACTTCTGCGAGAACATCACCAGCGGCTCCACGCTGAAGCAGCTGAAGCGGATCCAGCGGGCCAAGCGGAAGCTGCGCAAGTCGATGGAGGTGATGCTGCAGCAGCAGAGCCAGGCTCGCATGGAGGAGGCGGGAACGCCACCCCCCGACGTCGTGCACTCCACCGAGGCGAGTCGACTGATGCACATGGTGGAGTACGAGCAGTCGTCCACTCACAGGATCCTGGATGAGATTGACTCCTCGGTTGATCAGACCATAGCTCACATTGACTACATGATGAGGCCGACACGCAAACAGCAGCGATATTTCAGTTCAGACAGCGAGGATGGCATCAGTCCTGTCAGTCCGACACGATATAATACATTCCCACTACGACGAAGTCCAAATGGCGACGAATCTTCGCATTTTGCTACATCACTGTCAACCTCCGGACGAACCGATTCCATGAGCTCGCTGTCGTCTGTTTCCACTGTATCAAGCGAGAACCCTCAAGGTCAGATAATGTCAACCCATGGCGGCCATGGGACACAGTTTGTCCATACCACTGCCACAGCAGAAATAGCTCACCCAACCCACAGCCAAACAATGAACCAATCCCACACCAAATCTCACAGCCAATCCCACAGCACCCTCACTCACATGCACAGCAGTCAGAGCACTCACCAGTCTCAGAAGTACCGCACGGTCACGTCTGCCCAGCTGGCAGAGACAATGGCCACTCACTTCCCCCAGACAGAGAGAGATGGTGCCATATCTCCCCAGTCCAACACCGCCAACATCAGCAAGATGTCCCTGTCTGCAATTCGGGAGGCCATGGCCATGAGCCTGCAGAGAATGAAGGACCTGGAGGAACAGGTGAAGGCCCTGCCCATCATGCAAGTTAGAATCTCGGTGCTGAAGGAGGAGAAGAGGCTACTGATGCTGCAACTCAAGGCAAGGAACAGCAAGCTGAACACCAGGAGTGTTGGAGTTGGAGACAAGTCCATTCATGAAGTTGAAGTGGCTGAATCTATGCCTGTCATGAAGATAGTACAAGCTCAGTCTCCAGTCAAGTCAATCAGGTTCCCAGAAGTACCCTTTTCTCCAATGTCACCTCAGATGTCACCTCAGATGTCACCTTTGAAGAGCCCTCCTCCAACCCTGCCCAAACCCAAGAAATCTCGAACCATTGGTATTGGAGAACACAGTGTAATTGAACCATACCTGCTACGACCAGATCTCCCAACAGGATACACAGTGAAAGAAAATGAGGTCCACACAGAGATCAGAACCTACGTCTCTGAGGTGGAGACTCTGAGTCGTTCCATGAGGGATATGCCTCGTCTTGAGACCACGTTTGACCCTCAACTGAGGAGTCCGATGATGTCTCCCATTCAGGCGTCAAGTCCGAAGACTCACATCACGATCAACCAGATCCAGAGAGGAGGACCTAAGGCACTGACTCGCAGCATCGGAGTCGGGGATGGCAACGTGTTCGACAATTCTGGTTTGCACATCCATGAAAAGGAACTGAGGACTGTCATCATTGGCCAAGGGGGACCAGTTGGCAAGAGGAACGTTGGTGTTGAATGTCGAGTCCCTACGAGAGACGTGGGGGTCTCGTATGTGTGTGATGATGAAAAGCCTTCAACAAGAACAGTTGGGATAAATGTTGACACTGGCAGCCTCCTGACATCCTTGAGCTTCAAAGGGGAGGAACTCAGAGGAGCCCTGCGGGATATGCTCAGTAAAAATGTCCGTTCCATTGGCACAAATTGTAACTTCAGACCTTTGACCAACGATGTTGGCACCGAGTCAGATCAGATAAAAACGATGACTATAGGCGTGGGAGACTGCCGGACAGATGTTGAGGTACGAGCTCACAACGTGATGAGGTCAGTTGGCGTGGGCTTCCATCCCGAGATGACCAGCCGCTACGTGGGCACTGAGAAAGGATGGATGCTTGACCAGGGAACCAACACTCCAGTTCTGGACAAGAAGAGCAAGAGCACATCCACAGAGAAGCCTAGGTTTGTGTATGCCTCCACTAATACAGACTCAGCCCCACTCAGAAACAGCAGCAACCAGACAGACCACAAAATATTCCATGCAACAGACCAGCTGAAGAATGTCAGCTGTAATACCCACAAAATAGCTGCCCAGTCCATGGGGGTTAATACTGATTTCAAGTGTTTGAAGTCCGATACTTTTGATTTTGCAATTACATTCCAGAATGAATCTTCCAATACAGACTTCAGCATTGCTGATAAAGGTGTGAACACTGATAGGGGATATAGTAAGAAGGGCGCTGCGAAGTCCGTGAAGACTGTTGGTGTGAGTGAGGACACGGTTGATGTGGTGAGGGACAGTGGTCAGAGACAGTTTGGAGAGCAGGTGTCGAGGAGCTCGGTGGAAACTGTCAGCACTGTGCGTAGCAACCAGAGCACCACAGTGAATAGCGGAGGCAGCTACATGCCAGCCGATATGAGTAAGTTCATGAGTGTGGGAGGTTCTTCCAGTGTCAAGTCGAAGAGCAGTTCTGCAGGAAGCACCGAGGTCAAGAGGAGACAACTAGAGAGTTCACAAAACTCATCACCCAAAAGGAAGTCGGGGGATGACTTCGAGGAATACCGATATTCTGAAGAGTCATTCGTTATTCGTGGTAATGATTTGGAGCATGGGGACTTTGAAATTGTGAAAGATTTAGGTGGGACTGAAAAGAGGATTGTAGCAAAGAAATCTGATTTGCCCCTTGAAGAAGTGCTAGGGATTGATGGACAATCAAAGACAGGCAAGCGGCACTCTGGCGGGGGAGGTGGACGGACGATCAGAGAAGAACACGTAACTTACAGAAGCTCGGGAACAGACTTAGGACTGTCCAGAACATCTGGAGGGAAGGGAGAACATGATAGAGTTGATGGCAGTGGTGGAGAGGCTGTGGGATACATCAGGTATCTTCAGGACTCCACTGATGGAGATGGTCAAAGCGGGACGTCAAGTGCACACAGTACTTCTATGATTTCTGCTGACGAGGTGTTGAGGCAGAGCAGTAGCGGCAGCTCAGAATCGGCAGGAGGAAGTGGAATGACATCAATGCAGGAAACTGTCACTCGGAGAAGTCTCGGTGGTGGAGGTGGTGGTGGTATGACAACTGTTCAAGAGACTGTTGTGCAGAGAAATACTGGGAGTAGAGGTGGCAGTGGTATGACTATTGTACAAGCAGGTGGAGGTGGTTTCACGTTTGCGCAAGGAAGCGGAGGTGGTAGTGGCATGACAACTATTCAAGGAGGTGGTAGCGGCATGACAACTATTCAAGGAAGTGGAGGTGGTAGCGGCATGACAACTATTCAAGGAAGTGGAGGTGGTAGCGGCATGACAACTATTCAAGGAAGTGGAGGTGGTAGTGGCATGACAACTATTCAAGGAAGTGGAGGTGGTAGTGGCATGACAACTATTCAAGGAAGTGGAGGTGGTAGTGGCATGACAACTATTCAAGGAAGTGGAGGTGGTAGTGGCATGACAACTATTCAAGAGACTGTTGTGCAGAGAAATATCGGTGGCAGAGGTGGCAGTGGTATGACTATTGTACAAGCTGGTGGAGGTGGTTTCACTTTTGGACAAGGAAGTGGAGGTGGTAGCGGTATGGCAACTGTTCAAGGCAGCGGAGGTGGTAGCGGTGTGACAACTGTTCAAGAGACTGTTGTGCAGAGAAGTGGAGGAGGTAGCAGTTTCTCCTCTTCATCTCAGTCTTCATCATCTCATGGTCTGACTCTAAATGTGGACAACGCTAGTCCAAGGTTAAACAGACATGGATTATGGGAAAGGGCTGGTGGCATTGACGAAATAGCTGGCTTCACTCTGAGTACAAGCCCAACCCGCCTCAGTGGCGGATCCTTCACATCAGACTCAGGAGGCTCTGACACCCAGATCTCCACCGAGAGTCCAGATAGTGGCAGGCAGAAGTCAGTTGTCACACGAACCGTGACCACAACGCGATCCACGAAAGGTGGTGGTGATGTGACAGTTGAGGAGACGACGTCCTCTCAAGGAGGGAAGGTGACTTCCACAAAGACTGTAACTGGAAACCCAGACCTGCTTGGCAGCAACCAGAGACATGAACAGTCCTCAGTGTTGAAATCAGAACTGAATGTTTTAGATGGTAATTTGACTTCATCACAGATTTCCAATGAGAGTGGGTTCTCGTTGACGCCCAGCCACTCCGAAGGGGACTTCAACCAGGGGCTGGGAAGTGACTTGGACCGAAATAGAATGTCCTCTTCCCACAGCAGTGTAAATACATCCTTCGACTCCGAGAACGGCACCCTCAAGTCGTGCATCAAACGCAGCAAGTCAGACACACAGGTGAAGAAAGGAATCTCATTTGCTTCAACAGTGGTTGGAGGGTAAGTCAGACATCATGTGTTCCATGTTCAGATCTTTTAGATTAAATAGTTGTACACTTCTGAGGAGGGCAGGTGACACTGTCGTCTGAGACACCACCATTCACTGTGCAGAGTTGCATCCCATGCAGAAACCTATGGGTAGTGGTAAACGTCTGCGACCTGCATCACTTCGGGCTTTCCTCCCACATTATGATGACACGCCGTGATATAACTGGAATACTGTTTAAAGCGATGTTAAACCCAACTCACTCACTAACACTGAGATTCAAAGAAGCAGTCTGCGACTTTAGCCACAAGTCCACATCTAGTAAAAATTCTGGTCAGTCTAGTAAGCTTGGCTAGCATTAGTCCATACGATAACACTAAACTTGTACAAAAAATGATGCTATGAGCCAAGTTTGGGCTAGTGGACTCAATGGTTTGGTCACAGACTGCAGAATTTGAAAGCATACCCCATGGTTTATGTCCTGTCCATATGACCTGTCCATATGACCAGGCAGTTTGTGGTCCTGCAACTAATCCATTAACTAAGATTACAGCATAGGCCTCCTGTTCCGGCTGCTCGACAGCTGTGATGGAGATCGGGAGGTCACAATGGCTGCTGAATATGACTATCACTAGACTGGATAGAATATCATAAAGTTATTGGAAAGTGCAGGTGACTGTAATTGATAATGCTCTCATTCTGCCTAATCAAATGCTATTATAAATGGCGACGTCATCGTTAATTTTCAGAAGCATGGCATCTGACAGTGAGCGTGGCCTCACGAGTCAACTGATATGAGTTGATGTCCGGTGCATATGTTGTGGAGAGAACAAAAATGAGCTTTAGATGATTAAATATTTGTCAGATTGCATTTCTCTATTTCTATTCTTTTGATAAGTTCTTTTTTATAAATATTGTCATATGAACTTGATCTTTGCTGATATTAGTTATGTAAAGTAAAGAAGATTTAGTTTATGTGAAGTATGTTTTGCAGTTATTAGGCCTTTTATTTTTTGTAGTTGGTTTACAGATTTACTGGCCAAAACTTCAATGTTGGTGGCCGGAATAAAAAATTACAAAAAATCAACTTTTAGTACTGTTACAGTGAAAAATAAACAAGTTTTAAGAAGGCAAGATATCAAAATTGGGTTGGGATTTTTTTTTTGGTGGGGGGGGGGGGGGGGGGGGGGGGTAGAAAAACATATATAGCGTTTATTGCTGTGTATAAGGCGATTTAAAAAAAAATAATTATATACCTAGAATATTGGGCTATATGTATTATTCACTGTTTACAAATCTCCGTGTTTTTATCTTTAACCAAATATTTTTGTCCTTGTAATCCAACTAAAAAATAATATTTGACTTTGGTGAGCGCTGTTGAGCTGTGGTGAGCGTTGTTGAGCTGTGGTGAGTGTTGTTGAGCTGTGGTTAGCGCTGCTTGTGCATGGTTCATTAGACTGCCAAATTCCTATTTGCACGGATACACTACCATGTCAACAAGAACTAGCCCCACCTTGTATAAGCCAGGTATTCAGTGCAAACATAAAGACTAATACACCACAGTGAATTGCCAAAACATTGTTGAGAAAGACACTGAGTCAATATTACATGCAGGATTGGAACATGACTGCACCCAGTTTGTAATAGTCTTGCTCAGAACCGTATCACCATCAACATCTAGCCACAATACACAATTATACCTAATGGGAGTTTGTGTGGCTGAATATAGCTCTGTACATATACTGTAGCATCTCCGCCTTCATCCGAGCATCTCGCAGTATGAGCGGTGTCATTTCAAGGGCTATTGCACAATATGTGCAGTGTTATTGTGTAAATTTTGTCAAACATTTCCATTCATTAAACATTTTCAAACTGTTAACTGGATTTTTCAGTTGCCCATTATCGAAATTTCATAATTGAATTTCCTTTCGGCCTTGACCCCGAGTTTGTCTCATGGGCAGCAGATGGGAACAGTCGACTGCGAGCTGCCCCGACTCACCTACGCCCATTGTAGGCATGGAAACTGTCTGCACATAATGGCCATACTGCACAATTTGTACATTCATCTCATTTTAAAATGAATGGTTTGAATGACACACTATTTCCATTCAATTTCTGTGAGGGGGCACGGGTGGCCCAGTCGTCTAAGGTGCCCCGATTCACTGTGCAGAGTTGTGTCCCTTGGGCACGCCAGGAACCTATGATTGTGGGTTCGAATCCCAGTTCGCCCCAATTATGTTTCTAGGTTTGTCAGCACCATGACCGTGCTCGTGGGTTTCACCGAAGTGGTAAACGTCTGTGACCTGCATCACTTCGGGCTTTCCTTGTTTGAATATACAGAGCATTTTGTCATGGGCCAATGTCTGCGACCCTGTATGGATTCCGTGGGAGTTAGTGTTTATGGTCAGCGTTGACTCGGATCGTGTCACACAACTGGCGTATTGTATGTCATTGTGTCCTGATGGTGCTCATGTTATCAGTCACCGGTTTGCCACGTCCAGACTTGATGACTTTAAGGCTGCTATGACATTGCTGGAATATTGCTGAATGCGGCTTTAAACAACATTCACTCACTCATTCACTTCAGTGCCACGTTTAAGAAGCTTGTCCAAGCTTGTACAGCTTAGTGTTTAATCCCTTGCCTTTGTTGTTCAGTTGATTATCTTGTATAAAGAAGCATTATCTGGTTTATCAGGCAATACAGGGCTAGAACTAAACTCAAAATCTTTTCTAGCCCAGGTTATGGTTTTGCCCTTGTAATGTTAAAACAATGGGGAAATTTGTACAAGCCTGCAGGAATTTGTACTAGCCCCAGGCTAGTATTAATTCTAACCCTGCAATATAAACAAATCTAACTAAATTCACTGCATTTAATGTCAGGGTGAACGTTAAGTTATGAAAAGATTGGTTCTGTACCAAGGCAACTGTAAGTTGAGACAACAATGTACGTTCCTTGAAGCCAAAATCCATTGAGATACAAATGATTCAAGGTGATGATGGTTCTATTACTGAGAATCTACATGGTGCTATGTGTCCATGCTGGAGGTGGTAGAGTGGGCAATGCGCTTGCCATTGCTTGTTAGGTAAAAAAGCCAGAATGTTAATCAGTACCAGTAGGCCTCCTGAGGTGCAGATAATTAGAACAATTTTTAAAAATTTATTATGCAGGAACAAGAGTTTGGTAAAACAGCAGAGCATTGTGGCACATCAGGGAATTGCTTCAGCTTTAGATCAGAATTGGTGGGGGCACTTCATCCATTATACTCTTTTCTTATTCACCCCAGCAGGAGAAGGGATTGCAACATGCTTTAAGAAGGGTTAAATGTTGTACATAAGGTACTAGTTGTGTGCCAGCAGTTCAACTTACAGGCTGAATACATGTAGATCATATGTTAGAATTCAGAATCTTTGGTCCATCAGTTGGTCATGGGCTATCATGGTCCAGTCATCTTGGCACAGTAAAGCCCTGTGCATAGTTGCTTCCCTTTGGATCCTAGGATTGAAGGTTTGAATCCAGTATTGACCCTGGTTATGATCTTGGTTTGTCAACAACTGTGCTCATTGATTTGTTAAACAACAAACAAACAATTTTGTCAAATAATACCAAATACAGAGACTGGTGAGAGAAAGTCTCTCAATGGCTGGATTACCTGAGCAGTCAACTGTTGTTGAAACTAGATTAGTAAGGATTTTTTTTATTCTTCAGCAAACAGGCTTCAGTGAAAAGGTAATGAGTTTTCTTTTGAGAATGTAGCACTCGGTGTGAAAATCTTTCTACAGCTTCCTGACTTTTCAATTTTTATAGACGCTTTGGCTCTAATTGTGACAGCTAATGAGAGTTGTGAACGTGTGAAAGTTAGTGGTTGTGATTAACATGAGCGAGACAACTAACCCTCCTCCATGCCATGCGTCTGTGGGGGACTGACAGCAGGGGGAAGTCCCACAGTGGTGATCGGCCATAGGTTATCCTTCCTGACACCCGGCAGCCGACTTCACACACCGCCTGTGATGCTGTAATCAGTTGTGATGAAAGTGCTTCCTCTATGCAGCATCCTGTGTATGCTCCATGTCAGTCTGAATCATGCACAATGCTGATAAATGGAATTAATATGAGTTTGAAATATGAAAGGTTAATCTTTTTTTAACTGGTTGAGAAATTTGGTTGCAGAAAATTGAACATCTGGTTTATACTGTACTTTTCTGAAGGGTGTGCTTGATGAATGTTTTTGATGTTGGTTGTGTGAAAGAATGCAGATCCTCTTGTTGGAGGGAGTGGTTGTTCAGTTTGAAGTAGAGGGTTACACCCCTTAGTTGTGCCAGGATTCGCTGATCATGGTTGGAATCCCCATTTCCCTGTGATTATGATCCTTTCTTTCTTAGCACCATGCCTCTGCTTGTGGCAAATGAAACACATCACATTCCTCCCCTGCTGAATGGCACGCCATGATATTACACTGCAGCATTCCGCCCATCTCACGCTCGTCCAGCTGTAGCAGAAAATACACACTCTCTTCAGTTTGGACAAGAAAAAATGGACACTTTTAGCCCTGGCCTGTTTGACACGTGTCATGTCTGATGCATGTCCTTACTCAACCCGTTACATCAGCCCGTCCCCCCAAATACCTGTAACAAGTCAACGGGTCCCAACCTACCTGTTAACGACCTTACCTGTACAAGATTAAAAGACCACCAAGCAGGTAATACCTGTATTGAGGTAGGACAAGGGTCATCTCTCCTGTCCCTCAAATGTAACAGAGTATGTATATAAGTAGATTGAAGTATGTTCTTTTCTAGACTACATCTGGGCTTGCTAACATGCTGAATCTTGGGAATATCTTTTGAAGATGGAGAACATGTTTTGTTTATTTGGTACATGGGAGTGGTCACGTTATTCAAGCAATTGTAAGGATTGGGTGAAAAAATGTTTGGCTCATATATTACATGGCTTTTAGAATGCTTGTCCATTGATGGATAAAACTGTTCTTACATAGGGTAGAATTCCAACTAATTCTTTCTTTCAAGCCTCTTCATTCATATAAAAAAGTGCCAAATTTCATCAATAATGCATTTAAAATAACATGCATATCTAGTAACTAAATTATCGTATGCATGTTTACGCTTTTGTTATTATGCATATATGCCATGTGTTGCTGGTACTACCTCGGCCGTGAGGCAATCGGATAGCTCTTCCAATCAGATCAGTGTGGATGAATGAAGGCTGAGTCAGCATTAGCTGGACAGCCAGATCCAGATGACGATAGTCTTACATTTATAGGCCACTTCAGTAGACTGCATCACAAGTACTCACTAAAATGTGCTAGTTCCCTATTGGAATTGCTCGGTTAGGTGATTCTATGTTGGCGGAACCTGACTGGCGCGCAGTATGAGATGAGAACGCTTTCTGTCGTAACTTTGTGAAGTAGAGCTTTCTTCCACCATTGAAGGGTTCTATTGATTACCTGGTGAATCACTCCACTAGCCGCTTTGTGCAGGAAATTACCTCACTTGATACAAGTTTTATGGAAAGTAGTATTGACAGGGAAAGAACTTTGAAACCCAAATTAGCAAGTTGAGACTTACAGGAATGATGGACGACCAGGCAAAGCTCATTGTGCTGATTCAGCCTTGGTGCCAGAGCTACCACAACACCATCCTGTTTCAACATTTCCATCGCTAGCATTGCACGGCACAGGTTTGCATTCTGGCTGTGTTGTTTCTTAAACTTAATCTTTATTGATAATAGTTATGTGAGCAGGCAATACCCAGCAGTTGTTATCGTTAGCTCACTGTGAGGTGTAGGGAGTCAGGTAGGCCAGTAGTTCAAGTGTTTGCTCATCATGACAAAGGCCTTGGTTTGATTCCCAATATAGTGATGCCCAATCTCTGTGTCATGCGAGGGACCGCCTCCGTGGTCTAGTGGTAGAGCGTCCGCCTGGAGAGCGGAAGGTCCGGGGTTTGATCCCCGACTGCGTCATACCAAAAGACATTAAAAGATGGTACTTGTTGTTACCCTGTCTGGCGCTCGGCATTAAGGGGCTAAAACAAGGACTGGTCGGTTCGGAGTCAGTATACTGTGTCTGTACATGCACTTTGCTATGTAAGTGCAATAATCTTGGACGCGACGTTAAACCCCATTTCGCCTCACCTCACCTGTGTCATGCGACATGATCATTGCAGAAATATTGTTTCAGTCCATATTCACTCACTCATTCACTTTCTGCATCAGGCTTTGTTATTGCTAAAGTGTTTTAGTGTTGTACAGTTTCCGTGAAAGATTTTTGTTTAACCAAAACATTTTCCAAGACCCCTGAAAACACATAAATATGGCTGAATAAGATGAAAATATGCTTATGTTTCCATATTTGTACTATTTCTTGCTTTTTGCTTACCTGGTACATTTTGTTGTTGCTATTGTCATTGTATTCTTTTTTGTTGTTTCTTTTTAGCTTTTGGAATATTTCCATTTAGTGCAGTAGTTTAAAAAACATAATTATTCCTACATTTTTCTCCCTTCATCATGGACACTGAACATCCCATGTAATTGTTAACAAATGTGACGTAATCAACATGGCATCATTTAATGTCATTGTCATCATTTTATTAACATTGTAGATGAAATTAGTACATGTTTGACTTAGTTTGTGTTGATTATCAATATGGTGTCACTTTACAAAATCATATCTTGTCTGTTGATATCTCCAGTTGCTTACTCTGGGCTGTTTGTATTTTTTGTGTTTGTAATCAATGTGGCGCAACTTTCCATAGCTTTGTAAAGAGTTTGCTTTCACTAGCTTTGTTAAAAGATTGCTTTTTGTCTTCTGCCCATCCTTGATAAAACAGTGTAAAACATCTCTGGACCCATCCGCCACCATAATTTGGTTTCGAATCCAGTCAAAATATGTGACTTTAAGTCAGTTTGTCAAATGACGAACTGTGCCATGTTACTAATAAGACAAGGAAATGGTGGCACCACTTCCTGAACAAAGCTTTTGCGGTGTGTGGGTCCAGGGTACATATAATAGAATGGAGATATAATGCCCTGAATAAACGAGGATGGCTTCTGTCTGGAGTTTTTGCTGTCTGTGCTGACAGTTGACCTTGTGTCTTGCAGGACGGACTCGGAGGAATCAACTGACGAGGAGTCCGGGAATGAGGAGGCGGAGGGTTCCGACAGCAGCTACGAGGAGGGGTCGTACGATGGTCGTCATGGCAACATTGTATATCAGTGCAAAGATGATGAGGCAATTGCCAAGGGCATCCCTGGTGCTAAGATGTTTGATCAGAATATTCGAGAGACGTATGTGTATTTTCTCTTCCTTATGTAGGTTTCTGGAATATAATCACCACTGATGAATCAAAAGATTTCTCTTTTTTCTTAGATTTGTAGTAGAACTAACCAATTTATATCTTAAGTGGCAGTGATAGAAACTAACACTTTTAGCTAACTAGTCCTTATAAAGATAACATGTAGCAAAACCCTTAAAAAGGGCTAATTTCTGCTAGTCCTTTTGGTACCTTAACTATTGGGCAGTGTGGCAAGGACTATAGGACCAGTGCCAATTTCTAATGCTGAGTGGACAAACAGGAAAACATGTTGTGATCCTCTGACTATATGCTTATATAAGCATTGTTTGTCTGTAATTTTGTTTACATGTTTAATTAGACTTGACAATTTTGACCATTTTTATATTCATATTTGTTTTCCTTTCATCTTTTGAAATGAGAATTGGGATTTGAATTTCCAAATAGAGTTCATGTTTAGCTGAGTAGAGGAACACATACAAGCATTTTACGTAGCAGGTGACAACACGTTCATGTTGTACAGTTTATCAATAGCATTGACTTTGGTACAAATGCACCAACAGGTTTGAGCTGAGTCAAGATATGCGGACATCGTGCAAGGTCCTCGCCACCTACCTGGTTGATTCCACAACCATCAAAACTTCCGAACTGGTAGGTTTCAATTTCTTGTTTGTCAGTTCCATGTTTGAACCGTGTCACCAGGAACCTGAACCCGTGAAAATCCGGGGTAGAATAGGTCTTCAGCAACCCATGCTTGCTGTAAAAGGCGACTATGCTTGTCATCAAAGGCGACTAACGGGATCGGGTGGTCAGGGTCACTGACTTGGTTGATGCATGTCATCGATCCCAATTGTGTGGATCGATGCTCATGATGTCAATCACTGGATTGTCTTGTCCAGATTTGATTATTTACAGACCGCCGTCATATTGCATAATATTGCTGAGTGCGGCGTAAAACAACACACACACACACACACGCACACACACACACACACGCACACACACACACACCACCAGGAACCTGAAGATTTGTGTGAACATGGTCTAAGGGGAGACAACTCTGTTTCAGAATACCAACCTCGGTACAATCCAGAAGGAGTGGTTTAACATCTCCAGCCAGAAGCTGTCCGACCACTACCAGGTGGAGGACTTCATGTCATCCTTCAACGAGATCTCCAAGAAGCTGCTGGAGTACATCGTCAATATGGCCGACCCAAATGTAAGTCCTGCCACGTCAATACCCCCAACCCGTGAAGATCCAGGGTAGAGTAGGTCTTCAACGACCCATGCTTGCCATAAAAGGCAACTATGCTTGTTGCAAGAGGCGACTTCTGGGATCGGGTGGTCAGGCTCGCTGACTTGGTTGATGCATATCATCGTATCCCAATTGCGTGGATTGATGCTCATGATGTCAATCACTAGATTGTCTGGTCCAGACTCGATTATTTACTGACCGCCGTCATATAGCTGGAATATTGCTGAGTGTGGTGTTAAACAACAAACAAACAAACAAAACAATACCCCCACATGGGTACAATGTGTGAAGCCCATTCCTGGTGTGCCCCGACGTGATATTCCTGGAATATTGCTCAAAGCGGCATAAAAACATAATCACTCACTCACTCAATATGGGAAACACAAAGGTGAGTCTTGCAATGTCAATATGTTTGACACAGATGTAACATGCAACATGGCTCACACAAACGTAAATCTGGATCATATCAACATATAACAGACACAAACATAAGTCTTGCAATGTAATGTCGTGACTCAATACAGATGTGTCAATATGCCTTGCTTATTGAGTCTTGAAAAATATGTCAGAGGAGTGAAAATGTAGAATATTGTGTTGAATTTATTTTCAAGTATTCTTTTACTGCAAAACATTAATTTTCACATCGTATTCAACACAGTACAGAATTATGTCAACATGATGTGCAGAATAGAAATTGTGCTCTTCCTGATGATCTGTAGTGGAATAATTTATATTGAAATGTTTCAAGGGAAACACCGCCCTCCACTACGCAGTTTCCAACTGCAACTTTGATGTCTGTAACCTCTTCCTCGACTCGGGTGTAGTGGACGTCAATAAGCAGAACAAGGCAGGCTACACCCCGGTGATGCTGGCCTCCCTGGCGTACATTCAGACCCATGGCCAGATCGAGACCGTGCGCCGACTCTTCAAGCAGGGAGACGTGAATGTCCGGTCTACTCAGGTGGGGGTCCCGCCCGTGCACAACCAGGCATTATAGTTACATATTTAAAAATATGAATGATTCCTTATATTTTGTCTATATATGAATTATTTTTGGATGTTATTCAAGCTAAGGTAAATGTTTAGGTTGGAGACCTTTTTTTCATAACAAAAAATGCAGGATCTGAGTGCTTGCCTGTAATTTCGAGGTGAAAATGGGGTAAAATTGTCTGTGTTCATGCATCGTATTGTGTGCATGTGTGGACCTCTGGGTCTATGCACAGGATACAGCAAATACTAGCTCACACACTCACTCACTCTCTCGAGCCGTGAAGATCCGAGTTAGAATAGGTCTTCAGCAACCAATCCTTGCCATAAAAGGCAACTATGCTTGTTGTAAGAGGCGACTAACGGGATCAAGTTTCCAGGCTCATGTCAGGATTATCTGGTCCAGACCGCCATCATATAGCTGGAATATTGTGGAGTGCTGCATTAAGCAACGAACCAACACTCACTAACTAATTGTCTGTGGTTCCAGGCAGGTCAGACAGCCCTGATGCTGGCGATCAGTCATGGCCGCACCAACATGGTGGAGTTTCTTCTGGATGCCGGAGCAGACGTCAACGCCCACGACAACGATGGTTCCACCGCACTCATGTGTGCATGTGAACATGGCCACAACGACATTGTAAAGGTGTTGCTGAGTCATCCCGCTACTGATGCCAACCTGACCGACAACGTGAGTACCAGCACCGCCTGCTCCTTGATGTAACCACTGTTTACCATGGGACAAGCAGGAGATGAAGACAATTTCAATTTCAATTAATTTTCAAAATTTGTCCAAAAACAGTTTGTCTCATCTCAGTGTGTCCTGCACTGTAGAAACTCCCTCGTAAATTTTGAGATTGTCTTATAGTTAATATATCTGTTTCCTTGTAACTTTGTTCTTTATTGAAATGTAAAGACCTTTAGTGAATTTGCACCATATTATCCTATCCATATATTTCATATCATCCTATCCATTGTATATACTTTGTATCACCCTAGATGTGGTATATAATCGTATCATGCATATGGCGTGAATGTCCAGTGATAAAAGTGTTGTTATCAAACATTCAGATATTTCCCTCTTCCAATATAACGATGGCGTACTTCAGTCATACATCATCTGCTGATGATGGGTAGACCGCGGAGGTAAACAGTATGTTGTTTCTCACAGTTTTAGTTCCTGTATTCATGGTCATTGTGTATCTCCATCTTGGTACATCTTGCTGTCTCTCTGGTTTTACAGCAGTACCTCATACCAGTCACACACTCACAAATACAGCCTTGTGATTGTGTCACTCTCTTTGTCTTAGGATGATTTTATTCTTGCACTTTTCGTTCCAAAGCAGCAATGTCAATTGATGAAAATATTACATTCACGAAATAACTGAACAAATACAAAATTGTTTCATGCAAAATGAAATCTCATAAAAATCAGATCTTAGTTCTCGCTAGTACTAAACAAGATCTTAGGATCCAACCTTTCATCCAACCAATCAGAGCGTTGCTTACCAGATCAGGAAAGTGACAGTCAGAATGTGTTTTCTGTTCTTGCAACCTCGAGAAAATTAACACGGGTGTTCCGAATGACAGTTGCAGGCTTTATGACTGAATCCACACGATGTAGGCCATCTGTTAGCCATTCCAGAATGTTCTTTTGTTTAGTTTACAATTTTTCAATCAAAAATGTATCACAATGTGTTTCGAAATGTAGTCGCCAGTTTGAAACTAGTGCTGTAGAGCACAAGAAAGATCCCTTCTGATTGGCTAATGTCGACTTCTTGTCAGTCATTCCATTTACATTTCCATTGTCCCTCGGTCATTGGTTGGTCTGACATGACTCGTAATGGGATATGTCCTCATATCTTTGTTTTTAGCGGTAGCAAGAACAAAGATCTGCTTTTAATGTGATTGTGCAGCATGCATTTAGATAAATGAATTTATTTTAAATTAACGTCCAGAAAGACATCATCATCTTAAACAGTGTGTGGTTTTGTATCTGTGTGGGGGAGAGGTGTTGGGTGTGGAGGAATTAAATTCACGCCCGTGAATTTGACTAAAAGACACACACTTTGCTTCCTACCCCATGAAGTATGTGGAAATCAACAAAATTCAACATGTTTTAGAAGTTACTTGCATCCTGTGTGTATCTATGGTTTTTGCACATATTTATTTCTTTTTGTTTTGTTTGTTCTGTTAGCCTTAGTTTTGTTTTGTTGTCAGGACGGCAGCACGGCCCTGTCAATTGCGATGGAGGCAGGCCACAAAGATATTGGTGTGGTTCTTTACGCACACCTTAATTTCTCCAAGACCTCACCTGTAAGTTGTGTTGCTAGTTTTCAGTTTGCTTGCCCCTGCCCTTTGTATCTACAGAGACACAGGGGTGTTCTGGGAGAAGGTGGTACCGTGGAGAGGCGTTTAGGTCACGCTGATTGGAGCTGCCGGCAACACAACATTAAACTGAAATCATTACATTTCCCCTTCAGCTCTTTTTTTAAGGATTAAAATTTATGACTTTAGTCCAAGCTGATACAGCAAACCTACACAATAATAGATATTCTGAAACGAACAAAATATTCTTTATAGATTTTAAGCTACCAAGCCAATCAGAAATTGAAAGAATGTGCGATCCGAACATTGCACAAATATGGCCGTGTTTCCACTACTCCCAGAACGCTCCTGTAGTCGTGTCATCCCGAGTCCTTCAGTAGTTCGTACCCATATGACCAGCATCATGTGTATTTAGTCATCCGGTCATTTATGAATTATTTTGTGGGCGAATAACATAATGTCAGAAACAAATGAGGATCTAACAAGAGGTTGTAATTATCTGCCATTTTACAAAATGCTGTATCCTTCATTATAATTTGATAATGACCTTTGTTTTTGGAAATACCAAAGTACACTGTATAAGAACCATGGATAGGTCTCTTCACAAGTTGGAAATACCAAAGTACACTGTATAAGAACCATGGATAGGTCTCTTCACATGCCAAGTTTTAGAAAGAAAGTTGTAAATACCCAGTCATTACAGTCAACACTTGATGTACTGGATTCCACACTCCTACATACCCCTTTACCATGTACGACCTAAACTCTATATACCCCTTTACCACCTACGACCTACACTCTTTATACTCCTTTACCATGTACGACCTACACTCTTTATACCCCTTTACCATGTACGACCTAAACTCTTTATACTCCTTTACCATGTACGACCTAAACTCTATATACCCCTTTACCATGTACGACCTAAACTCTTTATACTCCTTTACCACCTACGACCTAAACTCTTTATACTCCTTTACCACCTACGACCTACACTCTTTATACTCCTTTACCACCTACGACCTACACTCTTTATACTCCTTTACCCCGACAACCTACGCTCTATGTACTCCTTTACCACGTACAACCTACACTCTATATACTCTTTTACCACGTACAACCTACACTCTATATACCCTTTTACCACGTACGACCTACACTCTATATACCCTTTTACCACGTACTACCTACGCTCTATGTAGTCCTTTACCACGTACAACCTACACTCTATATACCCTTTTACCACGTACGACCTACACTCTATAAACCCTTTTACCACGTACGACCTACACTCTATGTAGTCCTTTACCACGTTCAACCTACACTCTATATACCCTTTTACCACGTACGACCTACACTCTATAAACCCTTTTACCACGTACGACCTACACTCTATATACCCTTTTACCACGTACGACCTACACTCTATGTAGTCCTTTACCACGTACAACCTACACTCTATATACCCTTTTACCACGTACGACCTACACTCTATGTAGTCCTTTACCACGTACGACCTACACTCTATGTACTCCTTTACCACGTACGACCTACTCTCTATATTCTCCTTTACCACGTACGACCTACACTCTATATACTCCTTTACCATGTACGACCTACGCTCTATATACCCTTTTACCATGTATGACATACCCTCCATGTACCCCTTTGCCACGTATGACCTACGCCCTACGTACCCCTTTGCCACTAATAACCTATGCTCCAATACACCCCTTTACAATGTACGTCCTACGCTCTACCTACCCCTTTACCACGTACGCCCTACACTCTACGTACCCTGTGCCAGCTCCTGATCCACAAGCTACATTGACCCACACACCTGCATGGCAACTGTTGTGTCACAGATACTGATGGAAAATATAATAAGATCACACGCCAAATATTGCATAGTTATCTTTCAATCTGCCGAGTTCAATTTATCTCAACAACAAAATAGGTCCCTTTATGAAATGTTGGAATCTGGTGTTTTCTAATTGGCTGAATACTCAATGTTCACCTGATGATTTGTACAAGAATTGCAGCCAGTGGAGGCCTGAGGTCAAACAGGTACGCCTCTCCCTTTTGCTTGTAAGGGGCAACTAAATAAGATCTCATATTGACCAAAAGTTTGTTGTGATTATTTACAGACCATTGTGATTTGACAGGAGTATTGCTGACAGACTGATAAAACAACAAACTTATCAAACCAAACAAATTGTTCCCCCTCAGATGTCCCCTTCTTACTTTCCATCAGTATACAGTATATGTATACAACTCGAAGAAGGCTAACAGAAAACCTGATTCTTTCATGCTGCTATAGTTACATGGCATGACAGATTAACTATTGTAATATGAAAGAATAGGGTGTTCTTTAACTTCTTTTGAGTAGTATATGAACCTTTCGGCACTTGGTCTCGTGGAATAGAACCCTTTCGCACTGGAACCTGGTTACATGAAGCTAACAGCATCTGCTATTGATGATTCTAAAGATAAAGATGTTTAGGAAACATTTCGAAAAATACTACTCGAAATGAGGTAAAGAACACCTGGTTCTTTGATGTGTTCTTTAACTTCTTTTGGGTATAATATGTACATCTCATCTAAAAGAACAAAATCTGTTTATATAAAAATTCAGTTTGTCTAACCAGGTGTTCAGTCTTTAGGATTTGTTGTATATATTTTCTATTGTATTTAAATCTCCTGAATTCAATAAGCATACGCCTTCATCTGTTCCTATTGTTGTTTGTTGTAACTGTTCTGAATCCGATGTTGTAAACGTTTATCCGAGGTTGTAAACGTTTATCTGATGCCATGTTGTCACAGCACCGCTTCCTTATGTTGAGTTTAGTTGCACAGTTGTCTCTGCCCTCAGTTGCCTGTTTCTACGTCTGGTGTTCAGTATGCATGTCGTGTTTTCTTCTAGGGTCTTGTGAGAAAACGCAAGAGTTCCAGCTCGCCCACACCAAGGTAAACTTCTGGCTCTACCATACTAAATATTACTAAAAAGTTTGCGCTGGGCCGTGGTCAGCTTTATTTGGATTGTCACGTTACGGGTGTAGTTGATTGGAGGTATAGGAGTTCTGGAGAAAAAATGAAAACTAATAAATTTATCAACAAAACTATTCTATGAAGTTTTCATTAATAATTAAGTGAGTGAGTTGCGATGAATGCTGCTTTGAACAGTATTTCAGTTACATCTTGCATGTCAACTCCATTTAAGAGAAAGCCCAAAGTGGTTTTTTTTACTGTTTGGTAAACCCACAAGTTTGAGTATGAGACTGACCAATGATCATAATCTTGGTAATCATGGATTTGAACCAATGATCAGCAGATCCTGCCACAGCTAAGGGACACAACACTGCTCACCAAATGGTAGCCCTAGATCTCTGGGCTACTATGTGCTCCCAATGTGTTTTGGTCATGATACATCTAAGATACGTCTTTGTTGTATTTAATTAAAAATGTGAGTGAAATGATTCATTTTTCTGGTCGGGTTTTATGTACAAAATATAGTTACTTCAAGATATGTACAGTCATATTCAAAGATGAAAACGCATCAATTGTTATAATACTTGATGATAATGTGGAGAGCTAACGGTAACATAAGGTGAAACTTGTACTTACTTGCAGTCTTTAGACACTGCAGCACTGATGTTATGAAGAATGGCTTCAGGTTTGACTCTCAGCATCCTTAGTTATTCTGCATGTCTAGACTGTCCTCATATTGGCTTCCTCACTAACACCAGGTGCATCGTGGTAGTCACTACTTCCTGTACAGTGTCACAGTATTACTGTCTCTAATCACATTCTTCTATTTATTTGTTTCATAATACTGCATTTATTTCATCCTTCATTCTTTGTTTTCAGATTATAAATGGTTTTTATTACTAAACATTTGGTTATAGGGTATATAAGCTGTAGCTAGCTTGACTCATTAATCTGTATGTTGATACATGTATCATGTAGAATGTAGTATAACAAGCATAGTATACACACTTGGGACTGTACAGAGTATAACAAGTATATTATACACATTGGGACTGTACAGAGTATATCAAGCATATTATACACACTAGGGACTGTACAGAGTATAACAAGTATATTATACACACTTGGGATTGTACAGAGTATAACAAGTATATTATACACACTTGGGACTGTACAGAGTATAACAAGTATATTATACACACTTGGGACTGTACAGAGTATAACAAGTATATTATACACACTTGGGATTGTACAGAGTATAACAAGTATATTATACACACTTGGGACTGTACAGAGTATAACAAGTATATTATACACACTTGGGACTGTACAGAGTATATCAAGCATATTATACACACTTGGGACTGTACAGAGTATAACAAGTATATTATACACACTTGGGACTGTACAGAGTATATCAAGCATATTATACACACTAGGGACTGTACAGAGTATAACAAGTATATTATACACACTTGGGACTGTACAGAGTATATCAAGTATATTATACACACTAGGGACTGTACAGAGTATTACAAGTATATTATACACACTTGGGACTGTACAGAGTATAACAAGCATAATATACACACTTGGTACAATTTAAATTGGTTTGGGAGGGATGACTCTTCTGGGAAATGATAAATATGTTGTTTTGTTTCAATCAAAAAAGGTCCAATGCACAGATTTTGAAGCAACATTCTGATCCCACACATTTCCTGCCTTTTTATCCCTGCCAAAGACAAGATTTTATACTTTAATAAATAACAAAATTGTCAAGAAATGGTTCTCAGATTATCACTGACAGCTCAGTGTCTTTGTAGACACATTTACCCATTTTTGATTCAATTTCTGTCATCATATAGCATACTTCTAAACATTAGCCTCTGTGCAAAGCTTTCCCACACAGACTCTGGTTGGTGATAGAATATCTCCCCTTTATACTGGCAGAAGGATCTGAACTTGACTAAATGAGATAGTTGAATATAAAGGGAAATGGCATCAGGAATTCTTAAAGGAACCACACTTGTATGGCTTTTAGATTGTATCAAGATTGTCATTAATTGTCTAGATTTTGCTTAAATTCTAGCTTTTTCAAATCTTGTCATAGTAACAAATATGCATGTGATTAAAAGGGCAATGTTTAGTTGTATATTAAACTGCTTATGTACATAACCTAAACATATTGTGGCAAAAAAATACTGATACGTTTTGCCTATTGGAACATGTGTTGATGCTGTTAGCATACTAAGATTAACTTGAAAAAATGCTGATTCAAAATAGTAATTTTATAAGTAAGTATCCAGCTACAACAAAACAAAATCTTATTGATATTGTGATATTCTTTCAGAAAAATATCTTGATTCTGTGCATATTATAAACGACATAGGTTTTCTTTTACTTTTAAACTTAATGATGTCAATATATGTACATAAATTTTGATCCAATTTTCCAATTTGTATTTTCTTCCAGCCGGCATTCCCGGTAACAGTAGTCATGGAAACAATGCTGTGAGAGGACTCCCTTTGACCATTGGATGGCTGGACACTGATGTGGTCAGGGATTCAACAATGCAAGGGAGACAACTCTTGATATTATCTTGCTACTATGTGCCATTTGTATAAAGGACAATTCCCTCTAGTATCTATGCAGTGTGTTGTTTGTATGTCGGTTTATACACACTACTATCTCGCCTCCTCTGGACACGATGCTCGCCTCAGCTCTACCTCGTAGTTTCTCATCGTTCTCCGACACATTCTCAACAACCCAGGTTTACATGTTCCTTGCTCCATTGCTCCATGCGAGCAGCGCAGAATAGACTCACATGGGTTTTCCGGAAGGCGCAATGTAAAATATTTTTGCCTTTATACCTTGATTAAAATATGCATGCTTGTTAGACAGCTAGATCATTTCAAAGAAGTTTTTTGAAAATCTAGTTGACATTTTAAAACGAGGTTGTTTGTCAGCTTTTACTCTATTTATGATCATGATATTGATTTGTTTTAACACTGGTGATGTGCATTGTTACATTGCAGTACTAGTTATTTTATTTGAGATTTTATGCAGGTTTGCTTTTAGCGTTTCAATAAATCATTGCGATACAATGTAGATTTGACCTCAGTGTAGTTTTATGACCTTGTAAAGAACATGTAATAATACACAAATATTTAGGACATAAAACTTCCTGTTTGTCTGCTGGTGCACCGAGCTGCAGTCAGTAACAGTGTTAAGTGTGTTGTCCTAGGAGAAGACTTCCTGCTGCATACTTAATGTTATTTTAGCGTGCTATTGATATTACAATATAATGCTGTAAGTGGATCTGTTAGATTTATTTTTGCTTTTGAAGACATATATTTTAAGTCTTTGAAAGGCATTTAGAAGTGATACACAAAAGGAAGAGAATTTATGGATGTCAACTTCTTTATTATGAGGAACACAACGTTTCGGATAATATACTTACTCCTTCACCATTTCATTTCACGTGATGAAGGTGTAAGTATATACTCCGAAATGTTGTGTTCCTCATAATATAGAAGTTGACATCCATAAATTCTCTTCCTGACATATATTTTGCTTGGTAGAAACTAATTTTATATAGACGTAATTTGAAATTTACTCTCCAAATTTGTTACACATGAGAGAAATATTTGTCAGTTTATTTTTTAAAGTTATTAACATCAATATTTGCTATTGTGTGATATCTACAACTTAGAGGCTTTTGCATAGACACATGTTGATTGTCCTAGATGTGTATGCCAATGAGAGTGTCATCATTAACTCTTGCTCTGCCCTCTTTGTAACTACTACTATGGTGCTATATCATTATCATTCGCTTAGCACAGGAAGAGTTAATGATACTATCTGTAACCATGGCGAGGAGACACTGAGAGGTGACAAATTGTGTGTTTTGTTGTATTCCAATGTCTACACTCAGATTACGTTATACCATTGTAAAGTCTCCAGCTTGGACATGTAATGATCGTCTTCTATGCTGATGAAGTATGAGTTGTGTACTCGGGATGTGACGGGATTGGGTGTGAAGGGATATATGTTGGGATCGGATTATGTCAGACTTTAATCCTGAGGTTGGATTCTGAACAGCATTATGCAGATACATTTGAGAAATTGCAGCATAGCATAACACAATAACAAAGGTTGTGACGACATGAAAATTGATCTCACTGTGGAGTATCAGGTGGTTATGACCCTGGCTTGTGTTCGTCTAGGTTTGTCTGACAGGTCGGGCAGAATCTGTTTGTCTGACAATCTAGAAGTCAAGCAGGATGTGACTGCAGGGACAGAAATTAACCCCGAAAGTCGTCCATTCATTGACAATATACAGTGAAACCTGTCATCTTAATAATTTCTGTTGAGCATGTCAAAATATAATGAGATAGACATTTATTAGTACCGTGATGTGTAAATGAAGACATTTATTTGTTTGGATTAATTTGGTTCAAAGTTTTGGAAAACCAACTGAACAGTTTGATATACTACCACCTTCAAGGTACTTTTAGTTTAAAGAAGTGGCCCTGTCAGGAATTAAATTGCTAATGCCCAAATTAAATGGCATCTAAGCATTCAGTTATTTCTCCAAACATGAAATAATTGATATATAATTACAACCCAATAATTGCCCATTTGTTGATTGTTGTATTGACTCTCCATCCCCTGAACGCCAGCCCCTGGCCCAGATTGTGTATTGTAACCTTGACAGTAGCGGCTTCATGCAAAGATGACCAGCTTTGTATTCAGATACAGTCTGCATTTAAGTGGAAGAAACTAGCATGTGTACAGGAGTTTAGTGATGTACAGTAATATATTCCCATGTATTTATTGATCAACGTATATACTTTCTCTTCTGTCAACAACCTTCCATGTATCGTCATACCATTCATATTCAACCACCGGAAGTGTAAAGGTCATAGCAACATTAACCCGTGTAACTCGGCTTGTTTGGTAGTCCTGTGATCCTATTGGTTAAAGGGTTAAGTTCACTACACCAGGATGTCGGTCAGAACATCAATCTAGACTTGTGTACTTGGGTCGTCTTCAGAACACCAAGCTAGACTTGTGTACGTGGGTCGTCTTCAGAACACCAATCTAGACTTGTCTACTTGGGTCGTCTTCAGAACACCAATCTAGACTTGTCTACTTGGGTCGTCTTCAGAACACCAATCTAGACTTGTCTACTTGGGTCGTCTTCAGAACACCAATCTAGACTTGTCTACTTGGGTCGTCTTCAGAACACCAATCTAGACTTTTGTACTTGGGTCGTCTTCAGAACACCAATCTAGACTTGTGTACTTGGGTCGTCTTCAGAACACCAATCTAGACTTGTGTACTTGGGTCGTCTTCAGAACACCAATCTAGACTTGTCTACTTGGGTCGTCTTCAGACCACCAATCTAGACTTGTCTACTTGGGTCGTCTTCAGACCACCAATCTAGATTTGTGGATTTGGGTCATCTTCAGACCACCAATCTAGACTTGTCTACTTGGGCCGTCTTCAGAACACCAATCTAGACTTGTCTACTTGGGTCGTCTTCAGAACACCAATCTAGACTTGTCTACTTGGGTCATCTTCAGACCACCAATCTAGACTTGTCTACTTGGGCCGTCTTCAGAACACCAATCTAGACTTGTCTACTTGGGCCGTCTTCAGAAAACCAATCTAGACTTCTGTACCTCGTGTTACTACCGGTATGTTTTTACGATACAATACAATTGTGTGGTGTATGGTTAAATCACAAGCTTGCCACACCTACGATCTGTGTTTGATTCCCACAAAGTTTATGATTGCCATGAAACCTTTTACAAACCTGACTTTTGTCCATCCTCACGTGTGAAGGGCTGTGTTGACCAGAACATGTTTTTTCTTGCCATAGAAGATATCATCTTAACACACATCTTCTTTTTTTTTTTAAATGACGCATTTCACTGATGTTATCATCGTGGCTTAATTAAGTGTTGGCAATAGAGGTGAGATTTGAAATATCTGATTATGGGTTGTTGTGTATTGGGTGAATATGTCAGCCATTGCCCCAGGATGTAGGATGTGGAATGTTTGACCTACTTTCTACAGGGATGTAATGATACGAGTTATATGACAGTGGCAGGCTTCTATCCCTGTCGCCTGCCGTTGTCTGTGGATGTCCATGTCAAGGATGTGATAACAGCTATAACAGCCACAACTAGGGTGTATTCACCTGTTGCTGTGGTTACAGTGTCACACACCATGCTGTTGCTGCACATTTTCAGTGGCCTGTTAAGATCAATGAAGCAGATTTTTGTTGTTTATAATTTTCTATGGGGGTGGTGAGATTGAATGCCTTTCATAGATTCGGTTCATGTTGATATCAATTCAACATTGTAAAAAACATACTCATTGAAGGAAATCTGATCGTGTTTCTGTGAAGAGGTTTGTCAATGATGAGCTTGTTTATTTTTAATCCATCTTGTTAAGAGATGTAACTCAATAGTAACATACCGTTTAGAATGTTTCTTAATTTGGGATTAGGGTGGGTGGGGATTATAAATATGGGGTGAAATCAGTGCTTCATTGAAATTATTACAAGACCTCTGGCATTCTTTTCTTTTATTTATAGTTCACAACACATTCAAAACAAAATTCAACAAATTGCAAAAATATGTTTTATTTTTTTATTTGCAACAATTTCCGATTGTGTCCATTGTTGGTAGATGTCTGAAAGGCATGACTGAGACCCTTTAACATCATTCCAAGCAGGAATGTTGTACACACATGACTCAGGAGGCACCAGGTTACACTTCTCCCACCCTGTCTCCTGTACAGACACTGGCAATCCCCCGACACTCATCTTGTGAGGCTGACCCACTCCTCTGCCCTCTGTTTCCTTGTCCAAGTCTTAGCATCCTGTTTTATGAATGATCTCTTGATAAGGGTTGTGTCTTGTTTTGTTTTTAACTCCATCTTGTGATGCAGGTCACTTTTCACTGATGTTTAAGGTTGTTTGAAGGTATGTTAGAGAAATAATGTGTAAATATTCCTGTCAAATGCATTCCACTTTAGTTTTACAAATTATTTACTTCAGGTTAAGTTTGTATTTTTGTTGAACACATTATTAAAAAAATACATAATAAAAAAGTTGGGATAGTTGAATTCCATGAAATAGTGCCTTAGATTTCCCTTTAGTTTCCAGGTTTATCTAAGTGGTTATACCTGTAGAGTATACAAGAAGACAATGGATCAATGTTTTTTCTTTCTCTGTTATTTCACAGGCAGCCATGATATAGCTGTAATATTGCTGACTCGGGCGTAATGGAGTTAACTCTCTCACTCTTTGTTTTTACCAAGTTTCAGTTAATAAGTCTGTCTAGAATGGTTTCCACTGCCCTGTCTCCACTGAACAGCTGTGTGTATGTATGTATATAATATTCTACATAACATTACATATCACTAGTCTATAAGGCAATAAAGCTTCATTAACAATGTACAACTGTCTCCTGTTGTCTGTTCAGAAGATGGACAGTACTGACAATACTGCTGACTTCCACAGCATGTGAGGTGAGGTGAAATGGGATTTATCAGCACGTCCAAGATTATTGCACTTATATGGCAAGGTGTGTGTGTGTGTGTGCGTGCGTGCGTGCGTGCGTGCGTGCGTGCTTGTGATAGTTGGGACTAATACCGATTTTATAGTGCTAGCCCACTCAGACACAGTATACTGACACCGCACCGACCATTCCTTGTTTAAGCCCCTTAATGCCAGGCAGGGTTACAACAAGAACAATTTTCTCAGTTGCATTTCATTAAATTGATCTTTGATTCAGTCAGTGACCTACTGCTCTCCCACATCATACAATTATGCAGACACCTTGAGCGATTACTGAAGTCGGGGGTAGAATAGGACTTCAGTAACACATGCTTGCCGTAAAAGGCGACTATGCTTGCCGTAAGAGGCAACTAACAGGATTGGGTGGTCAGGCTTGCTGACTTGGTTGATGCATGTCATTGATCCCAATTGCGTGGATCGATGCTCATGATATCAGTCACTGGATTGTCTGGTCCAGACTCGATTATTTACAGACTGCCGTCATATAGCTGGAATATTGCTGAGTGAGGCATAAAACAACAAACCAACAACAACAATATTACTTAAGTACTGTTGTGGTGTCAACCCCAACCAACTCACTCATCCAGCTGAGGGGGATTATTGTTTATACAGAGAGTGAATGATGTTCTACGCCACAGAAATATTACAGCTGTGTACTGCCGGCCTTTGTAAATCATGTCTTGGCAGACTAGTGGCCGTGGCATGAGCGGCAACCCCTGCACTGTGTGAGCATACACAGACAAACATCTAGTGTCTGAAATTAACATATTTTACCGATAAAAACAGTTGTTAAAATATTATTATAATAAAAAGGAGCCCAGTAGGGCTGGGACGAGTCCAAATTTACTATCCGGGTACCCACCACCCTATTACCCAATCTCATTAAAATCAGATCTTAGTTCTTGCTTTGTTTAGCGGTAGCGAGAACTGAGGTCTGATTTTAATGAGATTGTCCTATTACCCAACCCTACCTGGGTACCCAATATAGGTCTCAGGAGATGTCTCAAAATGTGCGATGGGGAACATTTTTAGCATAGCCCTGGCAAAACGTATTTTGATACATGTATTAAACGATCTGGTCATTCATACACTGAAGTTGAATTAAGTTATATCTTTATTCAACTGGGGCGGTCGGGTAGCCTAGTGGTTAAAGTGTTCGCTCGTCACGCCGAAAACACCCGGGTTCGATTCCCGACATGGGTACAATGTGTGAAGCCCATTTCTGGTGTCCCCCGCTGTGATATTGCTGGAATATTGCTAAAAGCGGCGTAAAACCATACTCACTGACTCACTCACTTTATTCAACCATATGAAAAATCTAAAGGAATGGGGGCATAGTCAGAAAGAAATGCGAACATTAGTGACTTTAGTGTAACCATAGAGTTCCAGATAATCTTTGTCATTAAACAATATATCACGTGACAAACCACGAGTTCGGGTAGTCCTGTGGGTACCTAGGTCCTACTCAGTACCCACCTGAACCGGGTACCCGAGTTACCCGTCCCAGCCCTAGAGCCCAGAGATTCTCTTCATTTTCAGACTGATACTGCAGTAATTTAGACTTGCTAATATCACAGACTTGCATGAGCTGTATTGGATATATATATTTCAGGGTCTGTATGACACTTACACACAGTCGACCAGGTAACATGTTGTGAGCACTTGGACCTCCTTGGATGACTATACCAAGCATGGAAGCTCGGGGCCTATTCTGGGTATACAATAGTGACAATATCAAGCCAGACAAATCGACATGTTAGTATCAAGATGGTTGCCACAATGTGGTCAGTTCATTTTCAAAATCCGGTTGGAATTCAATATTCATTGTGGAAAAAAACTACAACTGGATCCTGCAGTGTCTGTTTCATATCCAGTGGTTTCATGGAGGACGAAACTGGCACCCAGGGTGTGTCTTAGCTCAATGCAAAGACGGGCACCATGGTCTAGTGGTAGAGCGTCCGCCTGAAGAGTTGAAGGTCTGGATTTCGATTCCTGGCCGCATCATACCAAAAGACATTAAAAGATGGTACTTGTTGTTACCCTGTCTGGTGCCCGCCAGTCAGTCTGAGTAGGGTGTTCATGTTAAACTTTGTCATGGTATCTCATTGGTTGGCACTATAAAATCGACATTAGTCCAGACACGAACAGGCAGTCACAAGCACGCAAATGACATCTGACATGTGGTTGTCCGGGCGATCAAAAATCGAATTGCAAATCTGTGATATTTATATAGACCATATCAATCCCATTTGCTGCCATTGCAACCACTGGCTCCTTATTTAAAGGCACGTGATATCACGTGCTGCACACTGCAAAAACATAACCTGTGAGTACGTGTCAGTCAGTCAGTCATTTTTGTTGTTGTTTAACGCCGCAATAAGCTCTATTCATGCCACATGACGGCGGCCTGTAAATAATCGAGTATGGATCAGACAATGCAGTGATCTGTTGTGAGCAACGCTCCATGCCACCAGGGTACGATGTGCCACGCTATCAACCACGTCACCAAGCATGAGCACCCGATGCACGCAGGATGAAGCGGCCTGGCGCCCGTTACACGAAGCGATGGTAGCGCTACGACTATCCTACGTCTATGTTAACGTAATTGGGTTACGATCAAGGCCTTTTTCTCGTTCAAGTATCACTTATCCCCAACTTGTATTTTCATGAGTTAAATAAAACTTTTCTAAAAAAAACAAATCCAACATCACACTACTACAAAACAAGTCGTGTTGACCTAATGTTGTCCATTTTCCACGAAGGCACAGAAGTTGTACCGTTTTAAAAGCACCCAGTGCGTACACAGATGTTCCCCGTCTCGTGTGTGAATTGACTTAGGCTGCTTGTAACAATATTCCAGCAACATCTGTGGGGACCATTCGTCACCACTCGCCCCTTTCCGTTACCTGCAATTCGGCTTGTCACGGAATAACACGAGTTGGTCACGAATGGGTGGAGGACATGAAACTTGGCTTCCCACAGATTTGCCAAGTGGGGAATCGAACCCGGGATTTCGGCGTGACGAGCGAACGTTTGAATCACAAGCCTACCACACCGCCTCTATATCTGTACATCCTACCCTAGCAGACATCAGAATATTAGCTTGCTTATTGTAGTTTTCTTTCAATAACATACCACAAACACCTTTTTTCTTCTTCTTTTTCATTTGACGGTATATTGCACCAGAGACCATATACCGAGTATATGGTCTCTGATTGCACCATGATAACATGTTGATTTGGTGGTTGAAGTAAAATTAATAATGTTTTTACATATACTGTCTGTCACACACACACACACTGGATCCGCACCTGATAACTGGATTAATTGTTTTACTGATAACTGTTTTGCCCTCGGTAATTCACTGAGGGTTATACAGTTTGGCGTTTGGAGTGGTAAACAGTTTGACCTTTGATTGTTTGTGCAGATGAGAGAAGAGATAAGATGTGCTATGGGATCACATCCGTTATGTTGTGATTGTGATCGCCATGTTACATCCGGGTGATGACAATGGCGGGCCTCGACGTAAAGCACCCCGGTGGCATGGCACTATTTAACTTGTCTTCTCAATTGACAGTTTATTTCTGTATCCCCTGTAAACTGCAGGCAGGGCAGAGTTGTGAAGTAATGTTTACAACATACTACATGTACGAACAGCAGAGTGTTATAGAAATTTGTCATCGTGAACTTTAGTCCAATGTAAAGGTTAACTGCAGAGAGACATCTAAGATATTAGATACGAGAGATATAGATTTTTAAATATAGAATGACAACCAAACGTCCACACCCTTCATACACATTTTCATGATGTTCCATTTGTTTGAAGTTTTGGGACAGGACAATCAACACGGAAATAGATTTGAACACAGAAATATTTTCTTTTGTTGCGGTATTATTAAAGCATATATTTAAACAAAACGCCGCTATATAGTTCCCAATAACAAGCAAATCCAGAAAGGCTTTTTTGACAGAAAAAAACTATATTTGCGTTTTTCATATTTACTTCCATTCGTAAAATGTGCGTCGCTAAATTTAGGCCCATTTCTGGACATCTTCCCGAGGCAAGGGAGTTAACTGACTATAACAGTCCTTTTGCACCCTTGCCGAACTGGACTGGAATTGTGGAGTTCTATATTGCTGGACACACGAGTCTATGCATAGTCCATTGAAAATCGCGTAACGAAATCAACATCCGGTTCGTAAACTGCCGTGCAGATGTTGGTCGATTGCAGGATTTTACAAAACATGTGTATCGTCAACTTAGCGTCAATATTTCGTAATAGCCACTGGTGGCGCTCCGATCGAACCAAGAAATTCCGGCCACGTTCGGCAAGGGTGGAAACTGGACAGGTACAGTCAGTTAACTCCCTTGCTTCGGAGAGATGATTTCTGGAGTCAACCGCCTTCATTTGGCCGGAATATTTCTGAAAGCGGTGTAAAACCGTAATCACTCTATTTCACGGGCTTGAACCCAGTGCCATAATCCACCACGGAGCTTGGCCATTAGCCTGTTTTCCTTTAGAATGTCATCCAACTTAGGGATCATGCCATGTGACGTCGAATCTCGCTGTCCAACAGCATCCCTTTGGTCCAACAGAGGTAAAGTACCCACATTGATGTTGTCCTTTCTTGTGACGTCATGCAGATGACCCCCTATGTTTGCCTCACTTATTGACGTCATCGTATTATGTGAAACTTGACTATGACGTCATAATAACCCACATGGCAACGCATCCTCAGTTGAGAAGCATGTCTGTCTTGTGTCATCTTCACAGGCTTTGAGCTCTCCACTTGTGGTCGAACATTGTTAACGATCTTTAGGACCAGCCTGTCTACAATGAGTGAACCTGTCCCCCACGTCAAGATGTTGTTACCCTTTG